CACTAGTTCAAAGGTCAAGGTCACAGGGGTCTTAAATGTCACAATGGTTTCCACTCATTATTTTGAAAACTATAACAAAGTCTTCATTATTTTTTTTTTCCATGTACAAATTTATGGCAAGCCTCTATAACAAAAATAACCAATGATATGAGTAAAGGGCTAGAAATGGGGGCATATGTGTCGTTCGACATTTCTTGTTTAAATTAAGTTTTTCAAGTAATGGATCATATGTTATGTTTGTCCCATGCACGTATGGCAGTTTAAGAGAAATATGATATTCTTGTACATATATACTTATTTTCATATTTCATATATTTTTATTTGTGTATATATTTAGCACAACATTTAGATATTTATTTTTATCATTTATTTTTTTATGATTTAAGATTAAATGGATGATTAACTTCCAAAATAAAATTTGATAAAGACATACACGGGTTAGTTCAATTGGAACTGCAGCCTCTTAGTGAAAGCAGCGCAGAACATCTATTGAATCTTTCAATACGCCCTGTACGTATGATTTCTAATAACGTTTTTTATTTTAAAATAACAGTAATAAAGAACATCAAAGTATTGGAAGCTCATTCAAGGAAATATATCAATTTCTTTTCAAAAATCTAAGATAAATGTATTTGGGCCCCTAAAATACGATAGTTTTCATCTGACACGTTTAACCATCGTAAATTCAGGGTCAATCATATCATAATTTTGTTTGCTGCAGCCATGTAACCATGTTATACACCTACTTTATCAATTTTAGTTAAAATAAACGCTCCAGTACACTGTTATTACAAAATGTGAACAAAAATTCTATATATTATTTAAAAATATAGAAAGAATATGACATTTATTTTTTAGATTGTATTGGAACATGAAAAGCGCCAGTGTATTCTAGTAATGACCGGAAGAAACCCGCTTGCAATTCGGCTTATATCATCTGCTGTGAAATCTTACAAATCTAATGATGACTTGTCATTTCTGAATACAAACCTGCAAAACGGCATGAAAGAATGTATTGAATATGCATACCGGTCTCTTACAGAAGCCGATAGAGTCCATCTGAATTCATTATCAGTAGTTGAAACATCTCAATTCGACTTAGAAATAGTTAAAGCTGTTTTAGAAAAAAATGATCAAGAGGCTTTACTGATAATGATGAAACTGATAAATCATCAGGTTGTTCAAAGAATATGCTACAGACAATACTGCTTCCACCCTTTAATTCTTGAGTATGTCAGGACACGCCTGTCTCATGAAGAACGTTCAACTCGGGCACAAAATAACTTCTGTCAGCATATGATTGAAAGGTTAGAGCCATACGTACAACAAGCAGAAAAGGACTACCCAAAAGCTATAGCTAAAGTCTCTGAAAATCAGGCATTATTGAAAGTTTTATTTAGTGTCCTTTCTACACGCAAAGACGACAGTAATAACATATTTACAACAGATACAAATAGATATTTGATACAACTTCGAGATATGCTCCCAATGACACAGAAGGAAAAACAGAGACTTTACAAAAAAATAACGGATCAAATGAAGTCTGATGGCAAATATCAAGCATATGTTTTCTGGAAACTTGAGGAAATAAGAATGATGGTAGACAATAAATGCTTTGTTGATGCAGAAAAGGAAATCTCAAAAATTGATGAGATATTAAATGATATGGCCAATGAGGATACTTCTATTGCTGTTCGTTTCTGGTATATCAAAGGAAGATTTTTCCGTTGTAAGGAGTATAAAGAGTATACCAAAGCAAGTGAATGCTTTCGGGAATCATACCAATGTAATATGAATACAGATAACGTTCCTGAATCCGCAATCGCTTTAAATGCATTAGGAAATACATACTTCGACATGAATGATGATGAAAATGCATTGATTTATCACCAAAAAGCATTTGATTTACTACAAACTTTCTTATTAAATGATCTTCATCCTGATTTATCTGTTTACGAATTTAATATTGGCACTATATATCTCTCAAAGGCTAGTAAACAGCTTTCTATTTGTAAATGTGTCACAGATAATGTAAAAGAAAACTTAGAGAAAGCTCTACAGATATTTGAAAAATCTATGGCAAAGGATGAGAAAATGAAAACACACAGAATGCCAAAATATGGCAATAAGCTAGCAGAGAAAGCCAAAGCATTTTTTTTACTTAATGACAAACCAGGGAAAAACCGGAAAAAAAGCAAAATATTATGAAAAAATCACTTAAAAAAAGTGTCCTTTCACGAACCCGATAAAAAAAAAACATTTTGGGAAATTTTCAAAAGGGCAGGGCTTTATCAATTGGGAGAAGGGCGTTTCCCAAAATAAAAAGTACGGTTTAATTTTTTCCTTTTTTAAAAAAAGCATGAAATAAAAATTGTATATTTTATTAAACCCTTTTTAAAAATTATGTTCTTTTAAAAATAAATCTGTGTTTAAATTTTAAAATTTCTTTGTAAGGAGGTGCTTGTTATCAAAAATGTGAATTATTTTCCCTGTATTGGCGTCTCTTTATAAACATACTTAAATATCACATATAGTTTATATTTGTTACAGCCATTGCGGAATTACTGTTGAAAGAGGCTATTCATTGTTTTCGGAAGGCAGAGGATGAAATTAAAGAAAGCGAATCAGCTAGTCTGGATGGGAAAGACAAGACTGATTTCATTTCAGTGTATGAAAAGATTGCATCACAAGGTCTTGTTAGTCGAAAAGAAGCGAAACTCATTAATTCTTTCTGTGAGGTAATATTATTATTTAACACATTTACTTTAATTTTGGTTGATAAAATTTTGACTATTTTATCTGATATACTTTATTTTTATTTTAAGCTCATATTGTTTATTATTTTAGGATTATAAAACAGGTGCATTGTTTGAATCATTCTCATCAAATGAGAGCTCCTCGTCAAACTCAGATCTAAATACCTCGGCAATTACTAATCAAGATACACACGATTCCGCGAAAGGGCATTATAGTTTGACGATTTAAATTAAATTTGGTTTAAAGGTTTTATTAAGTGCAGAGCGGGAGAAAGAAACAGCCCCTTTCCCCAGTTTGAAAAAAGGGTTTTACTTTAAAAATCAGCGCACAAAAAATCAAAATATGAAAAAAAGACGACACTCTGATTCATCCCAATTTGATTTTATAATTTTTTAATATAAGTTTTGGCTATCTCCCGGGTTTTAAAAAGATGAAAGAATTGCAAAAACAGCGGGAAAACAGACATGTTTTTTTCCCAAAAAGTTACTTGGTTTTAAAAATGGGTACCCCAACATAAAAAGTATTTTTAAAAAAAAAAATCGGGTTTTTTGGCGGGCCCAAAAATTAAAAGGGGGTCGTTTCTTAAAGGAAAAGCCATTTTTGTGGCACATTTGGAGGGGCTGTTATCATGTTGTGTTAAGTAGTTTTATCTTAATCTCTAAAAATCAAATAAACAAATACATGTATGTTATATTTGTATTTTTAAAGCATGTGCAGTGTGATATTTATTTTTATGAAATTGCGGGCTCAGTTTAACAGCTTTACTTTATTTCCGCTTTATTGATACTACTAAAATCCGGACTCTGATTATTTGATGTAATTTTGAAAAACACTGGTATTTTTTTTATCAATCTAATAATTAAATGTGTGTGTGCGCGTGCGTGCGTGTATATGTGTGTGTGTGTGTGTGTGCGCGTGTATGTGTGTGTGTGTGTGTGCGTGTGCGTTGTTTTGTTATGTATACTGTTATGTCAAACTTTTTAATCAGATTTGGATTGAAGTAAAATGTATTATTAAACACAACTTTATATCTATTGCACTTCAATTTTTAAGTTTTTCCCTGGTTTTGCACACATGTTGTCTGTGAAATTGTAATGGTGTCAAGATCTTGACCAAGATCCTTGGTTGATACATCATACAAAGAGATTTCAAAATAATGATTGCTGAGCAATTTTTTTGCAGTTGCAATATCTTTGATAACTAGTTCGCAGGTGTCAAATATAGCTTTAACTTTGATTTGTATAATTTTTTTATCGAAAATTTAGTATTGTCTAGCTTGTCTCCACTTTTCCTCACCTGTGACCAAGATTAAGGAAATTTACTGTCAGTAACGTGTGTAGTGGGAAATAAATTTATAAGAAAATATTTTGTGTATTTGTTGTTATCGAATGTTGTAAGAAACTTATATTGCTCTATAGAACACTTAAGAGTAAACAGGTGCGAGTATTCAAACTGATTTAGCATTACTTACATAACAAAAAGGATCAGTTTTTACTCCTCATAATAATATTATTATGCTTAATCTGCAAAATATGTTGAGTAAACTGGGTCAGTGCAGATCAAGGTCAGCCTACATTTTCATGTAGTCTTATCTCAATCTGCACTGTTTATTAGTCAGCACTAATATTTTGTCTATCCATTTATTGATGATCACTGGTACTATTCAAAATGGAAGTACAAAGCCAAAATCAGTTACAGCCAACAGTTTAAGATTAAATTTGGTTTTGTTGTTTATTCAGTTCAAGTTGAAGTGAACACTGACACTAATTAGTGCGCAACACTTTTTATCTAGAAATATATTTTGCTGTCGCCTTTGATGCTTTGCATCAATACTTTTCTTGTAATAAATTGAAATAAGATATTTGCTGAAAGAGCCATACACTTTGAAACTAAATCCTGTCCTTGTTTGCATCAACTCGAATAAAATACAATGAATATTATTTTACTTGATTTCATAAAAAATAAACAAAGTGTTCGAATCTGTTCAATAGTAATTTTAACTTAAGTGTTGTATAATGTCGTTTTCCTTTCCTTATTTTGAGACAGAACATAACCATATGTTTTCTATTCAATACAATATATGTTAGTCCAAATAAAAAAACAAACATTTTAGCATTGATTACAATTAGTGTTACAAAAGGATAGAGACTGACTAAATTCATTGTTACTTATTAAAGTAACAGTTTTTAAACATTTGTTTTGACCCCATTCACTATTATTCATATTTGTTACTGGTTTCTCATCTACCTGTAGTTTAATATAAATCGGCCTGCTCGTTCTTTGTAGAATAATGGACCTGAAATACAGAAGTAGTTTGAGATTAAAGATTCAATCAAATAAAAAGCCATACTTTAGCAAAACTAAATATATAACTCATACAGCTGCAGTATAGCACACTTTTTAAAAACAATTATACTATTTTAAAATAATTTACAATAATAATTCATTTCTTTACAAATTATCAAATAAATACGTTTGACATTATAAAATTGCGATCGTTTGGACTTTAAGACAATTGCTGACCTAGTTCTCAGCTGCACATAATGCGATCCGGCTTGCAGTGTCATGTCGCAAAATTGAGCCCATGTTCGCCCTTTGTCTAAACTTGTTTCTATTATGTGGTTAGGATACATACTATTGGCCTTCAGGACACAAGCTTCTAGTCTGAAATGTGAAATAATGTAAAAATATGTTACTTTCTGAGCAAGATTATTTATATTCAATATCTTATCATTTCAAAATATAAAATAACTAATAGATGAAGTGATTGCCAATTTATTTGCAAAATCATTTTGATCGGCAATTTGATTCAATCACCTATTTAAATTTATATCTTAATTTATAGTATTATGAGGTAATTATGCATTGTTGAGTACTATACTAAATTATATTGGTCATTTCACAGCTGCCAAACCTATGTTCGACCAGGCCCTATCCTTTCCAGTGACCTTGAAGTCAAAGATATGTCACAATGTCAAAACCATGAAAAACAAATCAATCCTTTTGGAATCACGGTTTCGTTCAGGGTTTTTTTCCAAATTTTATAAGAATATTCTAAAATAAACTTGAGCAATAAGAGCAAAAAGACTCAGATGAGTGAATAAGGGTTACATGGCCCTATTGTCATAGTAACCATGCTTTGGATGTAAGGCAAAGATAATGTTTTTTGAACGGGCTAATCTTGGCGAGGGGTTACATTTGAATGTTTTCATAACACCAATTTGTAAAAAGACAAGTATTTTTCTTTCCACTAAAATGTTACCAATGATATTTTCAAGTAACAGGGATTTGGATTTTATAGCACTTCCAAAGTTTAATATTAGTGGGACAGTAATCATCTTTATTAACTCTAACTTGTGTTGTAAAATAAATGTGTTTCATACATTGACCCTTGGGGAATTTGACCAATAAAATTATGAATGAAAACAAGATTGACAAGGAAGGGCGACATTCAATGAACGTATCCCCCAACACAGGAGCACCGACAAGAAGCGCAGCAGGACACTCAACAAGAGAGGCACGAAGTCACTTATTTAGAGCAAAAGATGCAGAAATTTAGTTACACTTATTTACAAATTCACGCAGAGATTGGTCTTAATATAAGTGATACAAGTTATGTTCCCAGTAGAAATTTAAAGCTACAGATGAAACAAGGGTTTTATTAACAATAAAATACTAAACATAACTGTGAACCAGGACATCCTTTAGTTTTTATTGATGGCCTTCTTTTACCAAAGAAGACCATATTCTAACGTATTGTTTAAAAGCGTATAAAAAGACAAATAGAAAAGAAACTAAAAGTGCTACATATACAACACTAATGTCTTGAGAACGATCTTCACGGAACGGAAATATTACATCTCTGATAGAAATGTACGGGCCTGCAAACGGCACAAACAACGATGATGTGACGATAAAATAGTCAAATGAAGTCAAAAAATAATTTCAGTTCATACATTGTGCCAGGTGGTTGAACTCTATGACGTATTCCTCTGTTTTCAAGTCTTGGTAGTTCTTTAAAACCGAGTGTTTGAACAAATTCGTCCCAGTCATTTTCCTTTAGTTTGTCTCTTTGTTTTTCATCATTTATATCTTTCCACGGAGCCTGATGCCATGCGCGTTCTGCCATCACAAGAATTCTTGGAAATGCCATATAATGCTCTTCAATTCTCATCAATTCAGCCCAAATACTTGCCTCGATCCCTAAAAGGTGGGGAAACTGAACTACGTATGATATAAACGCTACACTAGTAATCACATATCAACACATTGTTTGAAACAAGTTTCTATATTAGTTCTAAAATTCTAGAATATGACAAACAGGATCAACAAGGAAATGCGGCGTTCAAAGAATGCAAATATCTACATTTCCTCGATCATTAATTTAAGTAAACTATTGTCACTTAAATCTTTTTTGAATACGAAAATATAACAAGTTCGTTTACATTACCTCAAAAGTGCACATGTTAAAACATTTGTGATCAATTAGGAAATATTTTCATATTAATCTTCTCTTATCTATAGATAAAAAAATCTGTAAACAAAGTGATCCCTCAAAAGCATTAATCACAACAAAATTACATGAAAATTGCAGACTCGGTTTGATTGAGTCTGTATATGGGGGATAATGAATAGGTACAACATCCCTCACACCCCCTAACACCGGTTCGAGCGGTACTCAGTTCTCAACACTTAATAGTGTTTGCATCAATGATCCCGAAGGACTAGAAAAATATAACAACACTAAAGTGACTTACGGGGCAACTTTTTACAGCACTTGACTCCTGCTGTTATGAAGTATAAAATCTAGTAACAAAAACTTACCGATGACATTGTATGATTTTGATTGGTTTGGACATATATACTCTTTACAAAGTTTAACTTTGTCAATAGGGTTGCCCATGGGGTCCAAATTTATATTAGCCAGCAGATTATCGGGCATAAATTCAAAACCCTTTTTCTCGTCAATGTATCGTGTTGACCAAAACAGACCTCTTTCCTCAGAATCAGGCTCTTGGGTAATGTGTTGCTGGCATTAAGATTACCTTTGAATTGATCAATTATTTGAACATTTATACAGCTGTATTGTGTACAATTAATTTCGCAATTGATTATTAATTTTTATGTATCCGTAACTTTTACTTCTTTTTATTACAGGATGATTTTTGTTTCAGTATCTCAAATAACATGACAATTTATGACACTGTAAATGTAAATTCTAACCTTGCAAAATAGACATAAATTAGTTTAATGCATGACAATTAACAATGCATGGATCTTGCAAACGTTTCAGTAATATTAAGGTATTCAAAGAACGTTTGACTACAAGATTCAATGATATTTGTTTATTTAGCGAATTTCTAACATATACACAAACTAGTTAACTAGTCATATGATAAAATGGACAAAAATACCATACATATCGTATGCGTCATTATGATTTATATTTACAGATATACAGAGTTATAGATATGCACTCAAAATCATTTCATGCGCACAGACTTTCAGTAGATATTTAATACAATAAATGTGTATGTTGTTGTTATATACAGACTGAATGTAAACTATATCTGCTAAATATGATACTCAATCATTTGGGTACGCTTAACGCCTCTGTTATCAAGACACATATCATTTTTGTAATACTAGTAGTTATGCTCTAACAGGATGCAAAGACATAATGTGGCGAAATATCAAAAGGCATCATGCAAACAGAAAAGGGTATAGAATTATCACACTGAAGAACAAAAGAAGTAATGCCTTATATGTATCTACAATGCAAAGTCTGCAAAAGTTTGGTTAAATCTAACTTATTAACAGGTAAAAAAACCTTATGTATATATTTGAGTATCAAACAAAGGCTGATAATGAGCAGTGGAAGCGAAAAGAAAAGAAAACAAACGCCCATCGTTACTTAAGTTGTACATGTACTAGGTGCAATGTCTTTCTGGCTATACGGTCACTAGACAGTTCTACATTACATATTCAAGATGAAAACTAAGTTAGTCTTTTACTGGCCTCTGTTCAGAGAACGTCGGTCTGTAATGCTGGTCTTTCAATTTTATTTTATTTATTTTCAATGTTTTTGTTTGTTTTGTTGCTGTTTTTTTTTTCAGCTGTAAAAGAAAGGTTAATATGTTTCCGTATCAATGCCTCTAAGAGATACAAAAAAAAGAAAACAATATATTTGCTCGTGATGATAGGATTAAATAAATTTGTTAAAACGTGGTGTTGAAGCGATGCAAGCCCAAGATAAAATATCAATGACTGGAGTAGGTACAAGTAGTTAAATGTATGATAAAATGTTTACTATATTTAAATGTTGACTACACATAACAAAAAGCAAATGCCTGCTTAAGGTTTAACTTCGGCATCATACATCAAATCTACTGATATAATCATTTCACTACTTCAATTGCAATATGACACTTTACAGAATAACTGCGTTATAAACATGTATATTTAATTATATGTAAAAAAAACTTTAGTTCGAACTTACTTGTAAAAGTTTACTTCATAAAAATCACAAAATAAGAAAACCATGAAGCGGGAAAATTAAAACGCGTATGGGAACCAACATTATATTTCAATTCTTCCACGTTCTACAATTTTATTCTGGGGTAACTTTGGTTTTATAATAAAATTAAAGCATTTGCTTTGATAATACAAACAAGCGTACTATATAATGCATATAATCTGAGGGTAATTCCTTCTGTAATTGCCAAATGATCTTGATTTAAAGTTATATTTCTCATGACAAACAATTACAAAATGTGAGATACAAATGACGCCTCATTTAGATAAGATTTTGCTCTAGTGTTCAGAAAATGCTTCAATTGGTTCAGATATGGAGCTGATAGTTAATACATAACTAAATCATTGACTTTAAACAATGACCTTGGCATTTTGTGTTGCATCTACAAGTTGTCTCGAGGAGAATAAAATCATGAAATCACTCATTCGAGACAGCAATATAATCCGTTATTTTGGTTTATGATCCATTATGTTGGTTTAATCTATGAATATTCTATTGATAACCTTCATCTACTGATAAGCATCATCTACAAAGTCGACCGGTGTGTTTAAAATTTCTCCACGGGTATCCCAACGATAGGCGAAAATGTTTCTGAAATTGTTTGAATTTAATGACTTCAAGGTTTGGATAAACACCCATCACTCGATTATTGCTTTGAAAGAAATCATTAATGACCGTGAAGCATTACAAATAATAATAACCTTATTTGACAAGTTGATATGAATAATGTTATTGATTGTAGGCTTTTATATTCGGTAATCCCAGTTTGTTTATATAAATAGGATTTCTATTTTTACTTGATTTATCGGTTTAAAGCAGAAATACATTATAAACGAAAATGTTCCGTTTCAATTCCTTTTTCAAGACGCAAAAGTTAGTTTCTTTTATGATTAATTTTTGTCTTTAGTAGTTTTATTACATAGAGAATGGCTACTGTGGTAGCAATTCTAACGTGGAGTTAAAACTACAGTATAACGTCATCTAAAAATAGCCCATGCATATCATTAACCTGATCTACAGAGAGCGCATCCTGTGTTGTCGGTACAGACAAGTGACATAGATATTTTAGTGTAACATAGTTGATACATGCATATCAATTGGTACAACGTTACGAAGTCTTTTAGTGCATTTACTTGTCTAAAAAGCTGCTATTTAAATGAAATTAGCAAAGTTCTGCCAAAACGAATGACTCTCTCTCTCTCTCTGGAAATGAAATGTGCACACTTGTTTCCCTTCAGTATTATAGATAGATACTTTTTTTTCCTCCACGTGGGAGAGCCAAAATTAGTATTTTTACGATTGATTATTTTCTTTATTAGTTATATACAATAGAGAATAGATTTCAAATCGTTTTTGACAAAAAAAAATATTCGTTTTTTTACAAAAAAAGTTGTTACTGTTATCGTCAGCATGTTCCGGTTCAGTTATAATCAGTGGACTTCTGGTCCTTGTTTTGTCCAAATTTGCATGCATAACACTAGTGGCACAAATGGGCACAGGTGCTCGTCCAGTCTTGGGGTTACCCTACCTACTCCTTTAAAAGTAAGACTTTTTTGTTTTCGAAAAAAAAAGACTAAATAAACCCTTCATGATATACAAATAATTAAAAAAAGAAGGATAATAAATTGACCCTCTATACCTGTAAAATCATAGGTACCTTTACTGGTTTTTTACTGGTATATAAGGTCAATTTATTATTTTTCTTTATCATAAAGAGTTGATTTAGGAGGGTTTTTAAAAAGATCATTCATCACTGGACAAGCCTTTCCTTTTAAAAGGAAACTTTATTTTAATCCTTATCTGTATTAATGGTGTGCTTAAAATGTCAACGCCATTTCTAGTAAAAAGAGAAATAAAGAGAAGTAAACTATAACAATGTCCTCAGACTTTCATGTTGTTTTTTTAAGGAAGAAATTATAGTTTCCGTGTAATTTGGTATAGCTTGCCAATTACTCAGACATTCTATGCATTATCATTATTATATGTTTTGTCCTTCTGTACAATAAGATATTATGAGCGGTCTAACATGACGGAAGATAATTTTGTAATCATAAGACAAAAGAGAATTTCACTTGGCAAATAAGAAGTATCTAATTTACACAATATTGTTTTTAAGCTAAGTGGTGTAAAAAAACGATGGAGGTTTTTCGCGCTTTATCCGGTTTAACCTCCCCAATGGTACTTTTGTGGCGTTCGTTCGTGATGTCCTTTAAATGTTTAATGAAGATGTTTTTATTTTAATTTTGAGTGGTTATTCTAGCAGGTAATGCTTAAGGATGATAGTTTAGGATTGGTTATTTGTCCGCCTTGAACAAATATAGGTTAGATATTACTCTAAAGATCACAGATTTGATTGTATTTCATTCAAAGTTGTCCAATGTTTTGTCAATAACACCTTGCAAAAGTTGAAACATGGTTTAGTTTAAACATATTTTATCCTTTCAATTTTTTACAAGATGTACAATGCAAATATATAGAAAAACATATAAAATATATTTTGAATGACAAAGGGTTGGACCACAAGTTCAAATAAATTAGGAATTCGGTCCGTCCCTAAAATATGGGTACAATGGGGGCAAAACACTTGAACAACACATCAGCTCAAAAGATAACATGTCTTTTCTTCAAGTCATAATGAAACTTGATCAGAATAACAGTTTTGAAAATACCCCTTTGTCAAATTTGTATATGGGTAATCTAGGGTCATAAGCGAAGTCCTGCTTTCTGGGTCGTGTGGCGGTTGCGTTTATTGAACGCCGCATTTCCTTGTTGATCTTGTTTATCATATCAGAAGTAAAATATGAAAAAGGAGATCAATATTGAAGGGCGGCATTCTGTGAATGCATCACACTGCAAGACACCAAACAGGACAGAGTGAACGGTCAAAAGGCGAAGAAACGCCGCAACAAACCATTCAAAATCGGAAATCATGGAAACACACAAGGCAACAAAAAATACAAATTAATAAAAAGACCTTCAAAAGCACAAGGACGTTGGGGAGGGGCGTAAATTGAAAAGAAATCTAGGGGAAAGGGTAGATACTTACCATAGACAAAAAGAAGGGACTCAAAAGTGACACCACAATATATGTGTAACAAAAAACGAGATATACATGTGGAACCGCCTCTGAACGGTAAGCAACATAAGCACTACTGGGGAGTTTAAACTGGTTATTGGTGCGCCAAACCTACTTCTTAGCCGCGCCATGTTCCTTTTAAACGAGACAATGAAAATAAATTGAATTCCCACCAAGTGAAATTCTAACAGTTGTTACGGTTACAAAAGGTGAAGTAAGGAAATCACTGAAATGATCATGTACATACATATAAAAGTAAGCCACATAAGTAAGGTACATACGAGATCGTATTTTAAGGTCCCTAACTATCAATGGTACATGGTAACATACTTCAACGATTCTGTGAATTAATGCTATTTTATTTTGTTTTGTTTATTTAGATTTTCAATACTTCAATAAAAAATGATTTCTTTATGCGTTGTTGATTTCAACTTTTCGTCTTAGATACATTACATCCACCCTTCGTGGGTCAGATGTTACAATCAAAAAGCCCATTTCATTTGGTTATCCTCTATTGCATACATGCGTGTATTATTCATAAATCACTGCAAAGAATATGTCTTGCTTCTTCAAAATTGAAGTATACATGCATATTTCATTTTAATATGATTATATGTAACACATATTTAGTAAAATAAAACGTATCCGTATCCATTACTTAGAAGTCCTGCATGTGTGAAGTTTTCAAACTCAATATTTTAAAGTATAGTTTTATCTTAAACTTATCAATAGAACTAGTTATTTGTTCTATATCGATATTAAGAAGCCAGCTTTGAGTTTAGACACAGAGCATCAACAGAACAACAAAAAGTTATCAAAGTAAATATTCTTAGAGTTGAAAAATAACCGGAAAGGTTCATCCTAATTTTTATCAATGATGGTGCGGATAATACGAGTATATTTGTATATATTGTAACATTTGTCAGTTATTGTTACTTGCATCGTATGACGGCAAATTTGCATGGGTGTTATGTATAAGGCGTCAAGACTTGTTTCGTATGAAGATAGCTGTTGATGTCATAATTGCAGCCGAAGAGATAGGTCGTACAAAGCAGGCAAAGGTTGGAAATTGCAGGAGGTAAATTATCATCATTTTGTGCGTTTGTGGCATGTCGGGGATCCGATAGCGAAGTATTGTCTTTTGTACCTTAACGGCCGAATAGACCCTCATCAAGCATAGACTGCATACATTCATATTGACTCTTATCGAGGAATACCAGTACAATCATGTGCTAAGAGTGGCCACATTTGTTATTTATAATCAGCCTATACTCATCATAACGGCCAAATTAAGAGCACCATGTTGTTGTTTTTAATGTTGTCGATTTTACTGTTAAAATTCATACAAAGTCGTTTTAATGTTACGGTAACATGATCGGATAATTTTTTATTCTGGCAAAATAGTAGGTACTAGATATCTGCTTTAACGTCTCAGGTTTCACATTCAAAAACAAATTTATCAAGACCATTTTTGTTAATTGATATTTTGTTAATCAATTGGCAAACGTTAAAAAAAAGACAACGCTGTATGCACTATCAATAACTTACCCGTATTTATGTATTACAGACATTGCCTACAATATATCGATCTCCTCTATTGATCATCATTTTAATAAATTGTACAAGCCACAGTTTACCTGCGTGTTAGGTGACATGTTTAAACTTAAACGGAATGTATTCAATATAGTCTTTATCATATAATAAGATTTAATCAAAAGTTATGTCAACGCGTTATCTTATTGAGCGAAAAGTGTATTCAAGTACAATTTTCCACACTACTTCCGCTTTTGACAATGCTTTATCACTTTACAAAACATGTACTAGTAGTTTTAGATCATATGCTAAAACAATATATTTGTTCCTGATGTGAAATTTGTATATATCATTTTTAAGAGAGATTGTTATAAAAAAAAACTTGAACTTAAAGAGAAAGTAGTATTCACTGTTGGTAAGTCTATTTTACTTTTTCCATGTATATGCAACTTTATGCTTTAAGAAGTTTGAAAATGAATTAAGTAAACGGCACGTAAATGTGTATTTTAAATATTGTAAGATATCAAGTTTCTGTATTTGATAAACCTTTAAACTCAATACAAGAGACGTTAACAAGTTCGTGTTTTCCAAGTTAAGTATGCATATTTTATACACAGATGATATTAATAACCATTTCTCGAGTATAATAATAGATACATACGGAATATTATGTTCTAGTAGCTTTCTTTGCTACGAGCAGCGTTAGAAAATTTATATTTCGCGAGACCGAAGGTCGAGCTGGATATAATATTCCCCTGCTGCGAGTAGCAAAACACATGACCTCAGAAAGCTTTAACAACATAATTATCCTCTTATTATATACCTACTTAACTTCTTTTAGTTATTTATAGCTGTCAAGAAATAAAACTCACGAATGACGGGTTAATTCGTATTCTTTTTAAAATGAGGCCACGCCTTTAATAGTTTGGTTCCCGTTTTCATATGTTACGTTATATATACACAGCTAAGATGGGAACAACCGTGAAAAATAGTCCAGCCATATATGGAACCGTATTTGTCACTAATATATATAATACGTATGAAGGGTATTGGCGCTTCAAGATTTGCATTTATATTTTAGGGTGAAAATTTATAGCTATATAATAAGGATAAAAAAAATTACATGAAGTGATCAGTTAACAATAAAATCAATTTATGCCAAAAGTCAACCATTTAAGAAATTGAATAACTAAACTAATGAGACCATATTCACAACAATTTAAATTATTACAGACAATATGATGGATTTAGAGCATCATTTTAATGCGATGGACACTGTGGATTGTTGGGAAGACATAAAGCAGAAACTTGACGATGAACTGAAACCTGATGAACTGGAAAGGGTTTGTTGTTTTTTTGTGTTAAATGACGAAACGCATTTTATGTAAGTCACAAAAAAAGCGTATAAATATAACTAAGATAAACAGAAACATTGCAGACTTTAGTATTCATTAACTATTTATGTTTATTTCTTTCAGAAAAGGTAGAAATTTTCATACTTACGCATTGTTGTTGCTCTAGTACAAATATAGGTTTCGGTTAAAGTAAATATATTTTACAGGTTATATTTCTCATTGACCCTACAATAAAATCATACTGGGAGAGGAATGGTGATATCCGTAGCGCAAGAGACCTCATTAATGCATTAGAAAATTGTATGTTATTCGAAGACATATTGTCAACTCTCGAACATATTTTTGGATATACAAATCAGCATACATATGAAGGCCAAAGTTTAAGAAAAATGATAAGTGACTACAGTCATAACAGAAGAAGGTTAGGCTGTTCAAATATCATTGGACGAGAAACAGAAATAACTCAAGCAATTGACGCGTTGACCAATACAAAGAACAAAGGTATATTTTAGCTCTAAGATCATAGATACGTTATTTCAAAAAACGCGATAAAATGACAATTTTCTTAAAGTATTAATTTTCATATTTCTTTCTTGTACATGTTAACATCAATTACCTTTACAAACTGACAATGGAAATTATTAACTACTTATTACAGTAGAATGTCGGTATTGAAACAAACATACACGGATTTGCTGCTGTGTAGCCTGTGTAGTAATATAAGCTGATTAGCTAGTTTAACCCACTATGAGCAAAATCATTCGTCACTAATTGCAGAAAATAATGCAATATTCCATTCACAGCCTAAATATCAGGAAGTAATTAATTCAGCCTTTCCCACACTCTGTTCCCAGACAAAAATGTAGATAATAATCTACTTTATCGCACAAGTAAAACCTTATAAGAAATACTGTTTACAAAATAATTAAAATTGATGCATGAAAAAGAATATTCATGGAGATATCAAATACTCGAACATTTTGTTGTAAAAAAATAAAATAAATTCGTGAATTATTTAGTATTTATATGATGATGACATATTATAGCACACATTTATTTTTATTTCAAAAGAAGGGAGATGTAGCATTATAAGCTGATTAGCTAGTTTATGATATATGCTATACACATAGCGCATGCTCAATAACATGTCTAGTCAGTCTCGATGTTAGGGACTTTAAAATAATAAATTTGCATCTTGTAGAGTATACTCGTGTTATTGTTATATCACTATTTTGTGAATTCCACTTATTATTATTATAACTCCCAACAACAAAACAGCATGCAGGGGCACCTGGGCTTTTTTTGAGTTAAGACTTAAATCACGCATAGTGCTATCACGCAAAGAGCTCCCTTTGTGAAAGTGTTTCTACGCCGCGAATTTCACGTACGGTGCGAAGTTCACGAAAATGTAATGGAAGTCATTTTCTTATTATTAAACAATATCAAGAACTGAACTATGATAGTAGTATAATATGATATGCTCTCTAATCACGTGAGTTTAACTCAGTATAGACTTGTATCTTTGATACCAGAGTTTGATAGAATGCTTTGGCATGTTAACACATGTTTTCATAGTTAATTCAATGGTGTTATGGTGATAACTGACCATCGGTCATTCAGTACAATGGTGGTCGGTAGTGTTCCTTTAAAAGTCGCAAGGAATGTTGCAGTCAGCTTATAAAATGTCGAGGGCAATCCGCGAGATTTTATGTCGTAATTGTATAAAATGTCGCGGCTTATAGAAACTTTCGAGTTTTGTGTCACTTCTGTCGTAAAAAACGCAATAGTTTCTGTAAACATACTATACTAAACTACGCAAACATGTGCCTACTTCAGGTAGTCGATAGTATAATCCATGATATTTTGTTTTGATGCATACCCTGTAAAAAGTCGAGTTTGTGTATTAAGTATCGCCTTTTTATGCCGGGAAATGTCTCTACTCAAAAGGTCGCAGCTAAAAATTGCAACTACTCGCCGCGAGGAACAAAAGTCGCGGCTTCGTCTTTTGTAGAATTACTACTATACATGTAAAATTGTCGCGGATTTCTTTCTGTTCTTCCATTTTTTAAAGACAAACGAGGAATAAAATGTAAAGTCAAACCACGTCGCCATAGACTTATATCAAATATAGCTCTGTGCTATGACTAATGATTTAAGGGATATCTTAGCGATGAAATGTCAGTTAATTGTACTGCTATTGTCTTTATCTATAGTTATGAAAATAGCATCAAGTACATGTATTGAATGTAAGAGAAATTGCACGAAGTCTAAAGTGTACCCTGTTTTAGATACATGTAGTTCAAAAGTTATTTACCATTAGAATAACAAAACATTTGTAATCTAGATGGGTTTCATTTCCTTTTATTCACATTTTTTTCCTTATCTTTGTTCATTTTCTTTTGTTTCATCAAAGCTTAACATGAGATATAATAGAAACAATGCTTTAAAACAATTTCACTAAAATGCTTTATTGTTACAGGAAGTTATTTTTATTCACATCTAAAATGAAATATCGCGCGATCATTTATGTGCCTTAAATTGTTTTTAGTTTATATTTTCAATGTTAAAAACTAACTTTTGCATTAAGCAATTATTTTCTCAACTCTAATCTTTCAAAGTTCTTTCGAAATATTTAAGTTGTTTCAGTACGTAGTAAAATGTCTAACGCGCATAAAATCATGTTGCCCCCACTCGTTATCTAAAGTAGGCGAAAATAAAAGAATTGGGACATGAGGTGTCATATGTCTCGATGTAAATGTGTCTATGTTTCGTATGTATACTTGAGACTACGTATAACAAAGAATGTATGTCATTGTTTTCAGAAATGTGCAATTATTTCTAAACTCAATAATATAAGACAGTAGAAACAACTTTCTATAGTGAAATCTTTTGTAAATACTTTTTTTACAGTAAAAAAATAAGTAAGATGCCGGCAATGCTTCGCTGCAAAGATCTAAATCATAGGGTTAAAACTATTTTACACAATTTGAGATGAATATAAGATGAATGAATGTCACTGACTTAGAAAAGACTTAGATATTATTACAATGTAAAATATACGTAGGATATACAGACGATAGAAACTGGTCTTAAGATTTTTTTGTGGAAAGGGCTACTGTCACAGAATTTAAGTTTACGTTTTTATATTGAATCGTTTATGCTGGGTATGTTTTAAATGTTTATTCGTAAATAATTACTGTTTTATTATTATTATTATTATTATTATTATTATTATTATTATTATTATTATTATTATTATTATTATTTGAAAAGGTATTTGGATCTATGGAATGGGTGGACTTGGAAAGACTTTACTTGCAAACGAAATATCTGAAAAACTTTTTTCTCGCAATACTACAATATTAAAGTTTGATTTAAAGTAAGTATTGTTACCTTTATTTTTTCTTGAGATAATATCTTCCTTTGTCACTCGGGACATTTGCATTCATAAATTCATATTGTAGATGTGTTTGTTCACAACTTGGTATTATTATGCCAATGTCAAGAGACGTGAGTTTAAATGTTTCAAAATATTAGAATAATTTTACAAAAAGTTATGTTTAATAAACAAATTAGAATCAAGATATTTAATCTTGTTGCGTAATTAAACAAGGACCATTACTCAAGTCGACGTCTTACTCCGCTGTAAAAAAAAAAAATTAATGACATAGTTTTAAGGAACATTGGAAACAGAAGATAAAATTATAACTGTAAAGAAGAAATGAGGAATGTTTTATGATATTCCCTTGAAAAAGAAATTAAATCATTAAGATAATTGCGCACTGAAGCGACTCGATACTAGTTGCAAAGACTTATCACAGGCTAAACGTCAGACCAAACAAATATATGGAAGGTTGCAATATTATATCACTAGTCAGGACGTGCTTATAGAGGGTTGATTTAAAATCAAATATAATTTATTATACCACAAACTGAAATAGTTTGTGTAAATGATTTCAAGTTCGGTTTAAGATATGACAAAGGAAGATCAAAATAAATTTAACATTATTCAGCCACTGACTTTATTTAATGCAAACATGTATTATCATTTGTAAACACTGATTTTGTTCATGATTTCTAGCAAAGTTTTCATTGATATGGTTAAAAAGGATCAGATTTTTGTAAACTAAACAGTACAAAATATGATAAACAAGATCAACAAGGAAACGTTTCACTAAATTGAATTAATAAACGGTTAACATTCGTTCAGTTGAGTGTAAATGTAGGTAAATTAACTATTTTGATACAACTTCGCAGAAAACTGTTTAGGTTTTAGCATGCCAAAGATTATACGCCACGCTACTTACACGCTATTTAGCACTTCAAAAATTTGATATGAAATAACTAAAAGACGTCTCGAGCACTTCGTTCTCGAATATATTTTATCATTTGAAAATCATAAATATAGACTTTACGAAACTTTTAGACACCATGAGAATTGAATGTTGTTGCTATAAAAGCATTTTATCAATTTCAAAAAATTTGTTCACCAAATAATACTGACCTAGAAAACATATGTTATAGATCAATGAATTACATAGGTCTATACACCTATCAATTACATCATCCAACATATAGGGATATACAGCCAAGTACTTATTTAACAGAATATATTTTATCTTCTGTTAACGTAACATATGACATAAATGGCATTAATTTTGACGACAAACCATTTTATGAATGTAAACATCTGCACGGATATAGACATTGTTGACGTCATATTAGCAGATGTTGTTACGATATGTAACATTGTCATTGACATTAACAAATGACATTGTCTCTTCAATTTTTATTTTTTCTCTTTAAACTGCTCGTATGTACGGAAGCGTCCTGGAGCCAATTTAACAAGTTTATGAAAAAATAACTCCTACGTAGGACTTTATAACTCATACTTAGGACTTTATAACTCCTACGTAGGAGATAAAAAAACCTAATAAGGAATTTATAACTCCTACGTAGGACTTTGTAACTCCTATGTTATAAGTCCTACGTAGGACTTTATAACTCCTACGTAGGAGATAAAAAACCTAATTAGAAGTTTTAAAGTCCTACGTAAGTCCTACGTAGGAGTGAAAAAGTCCTACGTAGGAGTTATAAACTCCTTATTAGGCTTTTTTTATCTCCTACGTAGGACTAATAAAGTTTACGTAGGAGTTAAATAGTCCTACGTAGGACTTATAAAGTCCTACGTAGGAGTAACAAAGTGCTACGTAGGAGTTTAAAAGTCGTACGTAGGAGTTTGAAAGTCCTACGTTGCACTTATAAAGTCCTATGTAGGACTTATAAAGTCCTTATTAGGCTTTTTTAATCCCCTACGTAGGTGTTATCTTTTTTATAGAACATGTTTAATTGGCACCAGGACGTTTCCGTAGATAAAGTATATAAGTTAAATGATTGTCGTTTTCAAAATTAAAATGCTGTTTTTATAGACAGGTGACAAACTTTGATGATTTCATCAAACGTATGCTTGCAAAGTTTGAAGTCTATACAACAAGCGGTGATACTATGGCTTTGACGAGTACACTAATGTTTCAGCTTAAGAGAATTACATGTGGTAATATTCATTATTTTTAAACTCAGTTTATAAATAAGATGTTGAACATGTACATATTGTTTCTTAACGCAAATATTATTGAAATTTAATATAAGTGTTGTTACATTTTGAATATTTTATCGTTTTATTTATAACCATTACTTTATTTTGTTGCCAATTAAGTATCTCTACCGGTATATATTTATATTCAATGTTTTAATAAACATTAATTCCCAAATTGAATTTATGAATACTTATACTTAATTTGTAATTATACTTTATTTGTAATTTTGTCATTTTTCAAAGAAATTTACTTCCTATGTGAATTCAGAGACTTCATGTCAATAGGCGATTAGGATTTATCCAATGAAAAACTGTCAGAAATATTTGAAAAAGAAAGACGTCCATTATCCATTATCTACATGTTAAAGACCGATCCTTTATATACATATGATTTAAAATTTCACAATTATCTTATTTGAAACTATGCTTATGTCGATTTTAGGGACGTGGACGTTAACTTTCACTTATCATGACCGTCCATGAACATGCTCTATCAGACTGAGACATTATCAATTTTAATTTTTGGGCTTTTGGGTGCATGCTAAAGGAGACCCTTGTTTATTCTATGAGTGGTTACCATATTTTCAATTAAACTTGCATCTGATAACAAAGTTTTATCTAAATGAGTTTATGTCTTTATATGGATGTTATAAGCTTTAATAGAAAACTATTTATTAAGTTGCTGTATATAACTTGCGCATGTTATGCTAAGAAAAAAGATTAAAACATTTTATTGTTTCACATTTTTTCCGATATATAGGGTCTATTATTTGGTTCAAATACAAATCAACACTAAAAATATATATTAGCTTTAAAGGTCGCCACATACGACAGAAATTAGCATATTACAGAATCGATATAATTAGAGCTAAAGTTTAAAGCAAACTGCAAAATCAGTAAAACAATTGGGTCCTAATATGAAGACATACCTAAATTTATTTAATGCAAATTGATTTCTCGAATTCGTATTTGATTACACATTTTATATACTATACCGTATATATACCGTGATGAACTGAAGCACGCATAAATAACAATATCGTATTTCTACATTATAGAGTATTACTTACGTGTGTGCATAAAACGTATTATCGCGTTTTGTTCCTTATAGCATATGCGATTTTCTTAAAAAAAATAGTTGAAAGTTACACCGCTTTGATGACTTAATACTTCAATTATTTCTATTGAGCATCCTTAGCCGTTCATAATGTGTGTCATTTCCCCGCATTTCTTCTGGGGCTGCTGAGGTTTTTGTTATTAACAATATACATTATGATAAATTCGTTTAACAAGAACTGATGGAATATACTGGAGAACATAGCTTTCCTGACATGAATATAACCCTCGGCTAGCGCCTTGGGTCATATTTGAGCCGCTTCACGACAAAACCAACATATTGCGTTTGCGACCAGCATGGATCCAGACCAGCCTGCGCACCCGCGCAGTCTGATGAGGATCCATGCCGATCGCTTACCAACTCTATTACAAGTAGAGAAACAGCATGGATCCTGATCAGACTGCGCGGATGCTCAGGCTGGTCTGGATCCATGCTGGTCGCAAACGCAATCTGTTGGTTTTGTCGTGACACGGCTCATTTATCTTATTCAGACTAAATTCGCCCGTATATACACAAGGCATTATTTCCTGCTTACAAAAGTATGCAACCTTAATAGTTATCTTTTTGATGAACCACAAATGTATTTTCTTTTAAGATACATGTATAGTACTTGATAACATCGAGGATATGTATGAATGTGAAGGTGGTGAAGTAAATAAATTTGTGGAAAGATGTTTCGATAGTCCAGCATACATGCCGGTAAATTATACATTCAGGGATACGTTTTAAGTCTACATAAAAAAATCATTTAAGTTCGGAAATCTTAACCTTAAAAATTTATTTAATTTGATTTGTTAAGATTGAGTACTTTGTTGATATACAAGTATAATAAATGCATCTCAGCGTATATCAGTCTGTATTAAATTTGGTTCACTGCAATAAAGTTATCTGAATATATGAGAACAGCAATAATGATTTATATGTTTATTTTCATAATAAATAGACTTCATTCAGTGATCAAACAAACAAAAAAAGTGAATTGTAGGTTTTGTTCTGGACTACACATAATGAAACACCATTTAAGCATTACATTCTGCGTATTTTTTAAATAAAGTTTTTCAAGTAATGGATCTTATATTATGTTTGTCCCATGCACGTATGGCAGTTTAAGAGAAATATGATATTCTCGTACATATATATTATTTTCATTTTCATATATTTTTATGTATATATTTAGCACAGCGTTTAGATATTTATTTTTATTTTTTTATGATTTCAGATTAAATGGATGATAACTTCCAAAATAAAATTTGATAAAGACATGCATGGGTTAGTGCAATTGGAACTGCAGCCTCTTAGTAAAAGCAGCGCAGAACATCTATTGAATCTTTCAATACGCCCTGTACGTATGATTTCTAATAACGTTTTTTATTTTAAATAACAGTAATAAGAACATCAAAGTATCGAAAGCCCATTCAAGGAAATATATCAATTTCTTTTTAAAATTTAAGATAAATGTATTTGTGCCTCTAAAATAGATAGTTTTCATTTGACACGTTTAACCATCATAAATGCATTGTCAATCATATCATAATTTTGTTTGCTGCATCCATGTAACCATGTTATAGACATAATTTACCAATTTTAGTGAAAATAAACACTCTAGCACACTGTTATTACAAAATGTGAACAAAAATTCAATATATCATTTAAAAATATAGAAATAATATGACATTTATTTTTCAGATTGAATTAGAACATGAAAAGCGCCAGTGTATTCTAGTAATGACCGGAAGAAACCCGCTTGCAATTCGGCTTATATCATCTGCTGTGAAATCTTACAAATCTAATGATGACTTGTCATTTCTGAATACAAACCTGCAAAACGGCATGAAAGAATGTATTGAATATGCATACCGGTCTCTTACAGAAGCCGATAGAGTCCATCTGAATTCATTATCAGTAGTTGAAACTTCTCAATTCGACTTAGAAATAGTTAAAGCTGTTTTAGAAAAAAATGATCAAGAGGCTTTACTGATAATGATGAAACTGATAAATCATCAGGTTGTTCAAAGAATATGCTACAGACAATACTGCTTCCACCCTTTAATTCTTGAGTATGTTAGGACACGCCTAGTCTCATGAAGAACGTTCAACTCGGGCACAAAATAACTTCTGTCAGCATATGATTGAAAGGTTAGAGCCATACGTACAACAAGCAGAAAAGGACTACCCAAAAGCTATAGCTAAAGTCTCTGAAAATCAGCCATTATTGAAAGTTTTATTTCGTGTCCTTTCTACACGCAAAGACGATAGTAATAACATATTTACAACAGATAGAAATAAATATTTGATAGAACTTCGAGATATGCTTCCAATGACAAAGGTTGAAAAGCAGGAACTTTACACTAAAATAATGAAGCAAATGCATTCTAGTGGCAAAAAACAAGCAGAAATGTTTTGGAAACTTGAGGAAATAAGGATGATGGTAGACAATAAATGCTTTGTTGATGCAGAAAAAGAAATTTCAAATTTTGATGAGAAATCAAATGATATGGCCGATATGAAAGGCCGTTTCTGGTATATCAAAGGAAGATTTTTCCGTTGTAAAGAGTATAAAGAGTATACCAAAGCAAGTAAATGCTTTTGGAAATCATACCAATTTAATATGAATACAGACAACGTTCCTGAATCCGCAATCGCTTTAAATGCATTAGGAAATACATACTTCGACATGAAAGATGATGAAAAGGCATTGATGTATCATAAAAAAGCATTTGATTTACTACAATCTTTCTTATTGAATGATCTTCATCCTGATTTATCTGTTTACGAATTTAATATTGGCACTATATATCTCTCAAAGGCTAGTAAACAGCTTTCTATTTGTAAATGTGTCACAGATGATGTAAAAGAAAACTTAGAGAAAGCTCTACAGATATTCGAAAAATCTATGGCAAAGGATGAGAAAATGAAAACACACAGAATGCCAAAATATGGCAATAAGCTAGCAGAGAAAGCCAAAGCATTGTTTTACTTAAGTGACAACGAGGAAAAGCGTAAAGAAGCAATTGATATTATGAAGGAATCACTCACAATAAAAGTAGCTCCTTTCACAGAACCAGATAAAAATAAAACATTGGCAATTTTCAAAACTGGGCAGACATTCATCAATTGGCGAGAAGACGTTTCCAATGATAAAAGTACGGTTTATTTTTCCTTTTCAAAAAGAGCATGAAATATAATATTGTATATTATATATTACCTTTATAGAATTATTTTCTTTGTAAATATAGTCTGTGTAAATTTGACTTTCTTTAAAAGGAGATGCTTGTATCAAAATGTCATTTTTTCCCTGTAGTGGAAAAATCAAAAGCAAAAATCACCTATATTTTAATTATGTTACAGCCATTGCGAAATTACTGTTGAAAGAGGCTATTCATTGTTTTCGGAAGGCAGAGGATGAAATTAAAGAAAGCGAATCAGCTAGTCTGGATGGGAAAGACAAGACTGATTTCATTTCAGTGTATGAAAAGATTGCATCACAAGGTCTTGTTAGTCGAAAAGAAGCGAAACTCATTAATTCTTTCTGTGAGGTAATACTATTATTTAACACATTTACTTTAATTTTGGTTGATAAAATTTTGACTATTTATCTGATATACTTTATTTTTATTTTAAGCTCATATTGTTTATTATTTTAGGATTATAAAACAGGTGCATTGTTTGAATCATTCTCATCAAATGAGAGCTCCTCGTCAAACTCAGATCTAAATACCTCGGCAATTACTAATCAAGATACACACGATTCCGACGAAGGTCATTATAGTTGTGACGATGAAAGTTATTCTGGTAAAGGTATATTAAGTGCAGAGACGGAGAAACAGCATGCTGCTCAGTTTGAGAAGGATTTTTACTTAAAACTCAGCGCACAAACATCAAAAGATATGAAGAAAAGACGACACTCTGATTCATCCGAATCAGATTGATAATTTCATGTAATATAGAGACAGGCTATCTCCGGTTTAAACAGATGAAAGAATTGCAAAAACAGCGAAATCAGACATGTTGCAATTGTTACTTGTATAAAATGGTACACTACATAAATGTATTTAAAAAAGTAACTGTTTGTTGGCGGCGACAATGTATGGCGTCGTCTCTTATGGAATGCCCTTTTTGTGGCACATGGTAGGAGCTGTTATCATGTTGTGTTTAGTAGCTTTATCTCAATCTTTAAAAATTAAGTAAACAAGTATGTTATATCTGTATTTTATCGAAAAGCGTGTACATTGTGATATTTATTTTTATGAAATTGCCAGCTTAGCTTTATTTCCGCTTTATTGATACTACTTAAAGCCGGACTCTGATTATTTAATGTAATTTTGAAAAACACTGGTATTTTCATTCTTTAACAATCTAATAATTAAATGTGTGTGTGAGCGTGCGTGCATGTGTGTGTGCGTGTGCGCGTGTATATGTGCGTGTGTGTTGTTTTGTTATGTATACTGTTATGTCAAACTTTATTATCAGATTTGGATTGAAGTAAAATGTATTATTGAACACAACTTTATATCTATTGCACTTCAATTTTTAAGTTTTTCCCTGGTTTTGCACACATGTTGTCTGTGAAAATGTCAAGATCTTGATCAAGATCCTTGGTTGATACATCATACAAAGAGATTTCAAAATAATGATTGCTGAGCAATTTTTTTGCAGTTGCAATATCTTTGATAACTAGTTCGCAGGTGTCGAATATTGCTAAAAATGGGAACAGTATTAGGCTTGCAGTTGAAATATGTTGCTTTTATGTCTTTCATAATTCTATAACTTTGATTTGTATAATTTTTTAATCTAAAATTTAGTATTTTCTAGCTTGTTTCCACTTTTCCTCACCTGTGACCAAGATTAAGGACATTTACTGTCAGTAACGTGTGTAGTGGGAAATAAATTTATAAGAAAATATTTTGTGTATTTGTTGTTATCGAATGTTGTAAGAAACTTATATTGCTCTATAGAACACTTAAGAGTAAACAGGTGCGAGTATTCAAACTGATTTAGCATTACTTACATAACAAAAAGGATCAGTTTTTATTCCTCATAATTATATTATTATGCTTAATCTGCAAAATATTTTGAGTAAACTGGGTCAGTGCAGATCAAGGTCAGCCTACATTTTCATGTAGTCTTATCTCAATCTGCACTGATCATTAGTCAGCACTAATATTTTGTCTATCCATTTATTGATGATCACTGGTACTATTCAAAATGGAAGTACAAAGCCAAAGTCAGTTACAGCCGACAGTTTAAGATTAAATTTGGTTTTGTTGTTTTATTCAGTTCAAGTTGAAGTGAACACTGACACTAATTAGTGCGCAACACTTTTTATCTAGAAATATATTTTGCTGTCGCCTGTGATGCTTTGCATCAATACTTTTCTTGTAATAAATTGAAATAAGATATTTGCTGAAAGAGCCATACACTTTGAAACTAAATCCTGTCCTTGTTTGCATCAACTCGAATAAAATACAATGAATATTATTTTACTTGATTTCATAAAAAATAAACAAAGTGTTCGAATCTGTTCAATAGTAATTTTAACTTAAGTGTTGTATAATGTCGTTTTCCTTTCCTTATTTTGAGACAGAACATAACCATATGTTTTCTATTCAATACAATATATGTTAGTCCAAATAAAAAAACAAACATTTTAGCATTGATTACAATTAGTGTTACAAAAGGATAGAGACTGACTAAATTCATTGTTACTTATTAAAGTAACAGTTTTTAAACATTTGTTTTGACCCCATTCACTATTATTCATATTTGTTACTGGTTTCTCATCTACCTGTAGTTTAATATAAATCGGCCTGCTCGTTCTTTGTAGAATAATGGACCTGAAATACAGAAGTAGTTTGAGATTAAAGATAGCCATAATTCCGCAAAACTAGATAAGTAACTCATACAGTTGCAGTAGCACACTTTTTAAAAACAATTATACTATTTTAAGATAGTTTATTTTAATAATTCATTTCTTTAAAAATTATTAAATAAATACGTTTGACATTATGAATTACATCCTCGAAACATAAAACATTTTAGATATCACTTTAAATTGCGATCGTTTAGACTTTAAGAAAATTGCTGACCTCGTTCTCAGCTGCACATAATGCGATCCGACTTGCAGTGTCATGTCGCAAAATTGAACCCATGTTCGCCCTTTGTCTAAACTTGTTTCTATTATGTGGTTAGGATACATACTATTGGCCTTCAGAACACAAGCTTCTAGTCTGAAATGTGAAATAATGTAAAAATATGTTACTTTCTGAGCAAGATTATTTATATTCAATAACTTATCATTCCAATATATAAAATAACTAATAGTGAAGTTTGTAAATTTATTTGCAAAATCATTTTGATCGGCAATTTGATTCAATCACCTATTTAAATTAAAATCTTAATTTATAGTATTATGAGGTAATTATACATTGTTGAGTACTATACTGAATTATATTGGTCAATTCACAGCTGCCAAACCTATGTTCGACCAGGCCCTATCCTTTCCAGTAACCTTGAAGTCAAAGATATGTCACAATGTCAAAGCCATGAAAAACAATTCAATCCTTTTGGAATCACGGTTTCGTTTGGGTTTTTTTCCAAATTTTATAAGAATATTCTAAAATAAACTTGAGCAATAAGAGCAAAAAGACTCAGATGAGTGAATAAGGGTATACATGGCCCTCTTGTCATAGTAACCATGCTTTGGATGTAAGGCAAAGATAATGTTTTTTGAACGGGCTAATCTTGGGGAGGGGTTACATTTGAATGTTTTCATAACACCAATTTGTAAAAAGACAAGTATTTTTATTTCCACTAAAATATTACCAATGACATTTTCAAGTAAAAAGGATTTGGATTTTATAGCACTTCCAAAGTATAAAAATTTCAATATTAGTGGGACAGTAATCATCTTTATTAACTCTAACTTGTGTTGTAAAATAAGTGTGATTTCATACATTGACCCTTCGGGAATTTGGCCAATAAAATATGAATAAAAACAAGATTGACAAGGAAGGGCGACATTCAATGAACGTATCCCCCAACACAGGAGCACCGGCAAGGAGCGCAGCAGGACACTCAACAAGACAGGCACGAAGTCACTTATTTAGAGCAAAGGATGCAGAAATTTAGTTACACTTATTTACAAATTCACGCAGAGATTGGTCTTAATATAAGTGATACAAGTTATGTTCCAGTAGAAATTAAAGATACATATGAAACAAGGATTTCATTAGCAATAAAATTCTAAACATAACTGTGAACAAGGACATCCTAAAATTTTTATGGATGGCCTACTTTTACCCAAGAAGACCATATTCTAACATATAGTTTAAAAGCGTATAAAAAGACAAAAAGAAAAGAAACTAAAAGTGTTACAGATACAACACTTATGTCGTGAGAACGATCTTCACGGATAGGAAATATTACATCTGTGATAGAAATGTACGGGCAAATCTTTACGGCCTGCAAACGGCACAAACAACGATGATATGACGATAAAATAGTCAAATGAAGTAAAAAAAATAATTTCAGTTCATACCTTGCGCCAGGTGGTTGAACTCTATGAAGTATTCCTCTGTTTTCAAGTCTTGGTAGTTCTTTAAAACCGAGTGTTTGAACAAATTCGTCCCAGTCATTTTCCTTTAGTTTGTCTCTTTGTTTTTCATCATTTATATCTTCCCACGGAGCCTTATGCCATGCGCGTTCTGCCATCACAAGAACTCTTGGAAATGCCATATAATGAAACTGTTCTTCATTTCTCATCAATTCAGCCCAAATACTTGCCTGGATTCCTAAAAAGTGGGGAAACTGAACTACGTATGATATAAACGCTACACTAGTAATCACATATATGATAAAGTTAATAACACATTGTTTTAAACAAGTTTCTATATTAGTTTTAAAATTCTAGAATATGACAAACAAGATCAACAAGGAAATGCGGCGTTCAAAGAATGCAAATATCTATATTTCCTCGATCATTAATTTCAATAAACTATTGTCACTTAAATCTATTTTGAATACGAAAATATAACAAGTTCGTTTACATTACCTCAAAAGTCCACATGTTAAAACATTTGTGATCAATTAGGAAATATTTTCATATTAATCTTCTCTTATCTATAGATAAAAAAATCTGGAAACAAAGTGATCCCTCAGAAGCATTAATCACAACAAATTACAATAAAATTGCAGACTCGGTTTGATTGAGTCTGTATATGGGGTGTAATGAATAGGTACAACATCCCTTACGCCCCCTAGCACCAGTTCGAGCGGTACTCAATTCTCAACACTTAATAGTGTTTGCATCAATGATCCCGAAGGACTAGAAAAATATAACAACACTGAAGTGAAGTACGGGGCAACTTTTTACAGCTGTCACACAGCACTTGACTCCTGCTTTTATCAAGTATAAAATCTGGAAACAAAAACTTACCGATGACATTGTATGATTTTGATTGGTTTGGACATATATTCTCTTTACAAAGTTTAACTTTGTCAATAGGGTTGCCCATGGGGTCCACATTTATATTAGCCAGCAGATTTTCGGGCATAAATCCAAAAACCTTTTTCTCGTCAATGTATCGTGTTGACCAAAACAGACCTCTTTCCTCAGGATCAGGCTCTTGGGTAATGTCAAAATATAGATGTGTCGCTGGCATCAAGATTACCTTTGAATTGATCAATTATTTAAACATTTATACAGCTGTATTGTGTACAATTAATTTTACAATTGATTATTAATTTTTATGTATCCGTAACTTGTACTTCTTTTTATTACAGAATGTTTTTGTTTCAGTATCTCAAACAACATAACAAGCTATGACAATGTAAAAAGAAATAAAAACAAATGTCAATTCAAAAAATTGACATAAATTAATTCAATGCATGACAATTAAAAATACAAGGATCTTGCAAACGTTTCAGTAATATTAAGGTATTCAAAGAACGTTTGACTGCACTTGAAGGTTATGTCCAAGATTCAATGATATTTGTTTATTTAGCGAATTTCTAACATGTACACAAACTAGTTAACTAGTCAAATGATAAAATGGACAAAAATACCATACATATCGTATGCGGCAGTATGATTTATATTTACAGATATATAGAGTTAAAGATATGCACTCAAATTAAATACAATAAAGGTGTATGTTGTAGTTATATATAGACTGAATGAAAACTATATCTGCTTAAGATGTTACTCGATCATTCGGGTACGCTTTACGCCTCTGTTATCAAGACACATATCATTTTTGTAATAGTTATGCTCGAACAGGATGCAAAGAAAAAGTTGAAGCGGAATATCAAAAGACAGCATGCAAACATTTCAACATCTAAGACTAGGTATAGAATTCTCACAATGAAGAACAAAAGAAATAATGTTTTATATGTATCTGCAATGCACAGTCTGTAAAAGTTTGTTTAAATCTAACTATTTAACATGTAATAAAACCTTTATGTATATATTTGAGTATCAAACAAAGGCTGATAATGAGCAGTGGAAGCGAAAAAAAAAGAGAGAAAAACGTTCAGTGAACGTCGGCGTGTCATGCTGGTCTTTCAATTTCATATTATTTATTTTAAATGTGTTTTTTTTTCAGTTGGAAAAGAAAGGTTATTTAGTTCTTATATTAATGCCTCCAAAAGATACAAATAGAAAACAATATATTTGCTCACGATGATAGGGTAAAACAAATTAGTTGAAATGTGGTGTTGAAGGATGCAAGCCCAAGAACAGCATTTTGCATAGAATATTAATGACTGGAGTATGTACAAGTAGCTACATGTATGATAAAAAGTTTACTGTATTTAAATGTTGACTACACATAACATAAGGAAAATGCCTGCTTAAGGTTTTACATCGAAAATCATAAATCAAACCTACTGATATACACCATGTTACTACTTCAGCTGCAATATGACATTTTATAGAATAACTGCGTTATATATACACGTATTTAATTTTATGTAAAAAAGACTTTTAGTTCGCACTTAACTGTAAAAGTTTACTTTATCAAAATCACAAAATAAATGACTTTGGCATTTCAAGTTGTCTGGAGAAGACTAAACTCATGAAATCACTCAATACATTCGATTCCAGAGATATACAGCGAACAAGAAATATCTAACAAACATACAAAAAAGATGTCGATGACCACAAATACGACATGTGACATCACGTTAGGCAGCAAAAATGATCCGTTATGTTAGTTAAAGGAGAAATAAATATCTATTTATATTCTACTTACCTGATAACCATCATCTACAAAGTCGGCCGGTGTGTTTAAAATTTCTCCACGGGTATCCCAACGATAGGCAAAAATGTTTCTGAAATTATTTGAATTAAATTACTTCAAGGTTTGTTCACACACCCATTAATCGGATATTGCTTTGAAAGAAATTATTATCTATTATAAAACTTAACTTATAGCATTGTTATTAATACTGGCCTTATTTGACAAGTTGATATGTATAATGTTATTGATTTTAGGCTTTTATTTCCCTAATAGCAGACCGAAACATCGTTCCATGTGACATGTCCTGTTTGATGTCCTTCTGGGGTGTTAGGGGATGTGTTCATTAAACGCCACCTTTCCATGTTGATCTTGTTTTTCATATACTATATAATAATGATAATAAATAGGATATATTCGATAAATGTACGTAAGTTACCTATTTTTGAAAAATGCGCTTTTGGTAGGATTCTTGCCATAGACAGCTTCACCTACTAATGCAAGATTGAGTCCTTTCTCGGCCAATATATCTGATACACGTTTGTTAAACATTTTTTGGAGTTGAAATGTGCTGCAAAACAAATTTCACTTTATACATGTTACATATAGTGAGTTTTATCTAGAAACAAATTGTTATTTTATAAAATTTTACCTGTATGACATTAATAACTAATGAAAAAAATAATATAATTTATAATCTTTTAGATAACCGGATATGATTTAAAAGGTAGAGTGCTATGTATCCTCTTATTCTGAAATATACTTATGGAATAGTATAATACATACTTTATGTTGTGATTCCATAAATATTTCTGACAAGCAGCAGAGTCATTCCAAACTCCTTCGGGTACCTCATCGCCGCCAATGTGAAATGTTTGTAGAGCCTGAACTGGTCTGTGCAATTCTATCAAGGAATCTACCAAAGTCTCTACAAATCTATATGTTGTATTCAAGCAAGGATTCATAGCATTCCGCTTCCACCTCTGTGCACTATAAACATTACTAGGTCCACTTTGGTCACCTTACATAAAAACAAACATTTTTTCTTATTCACCAAAACACAGACATCGCGGTATGGTAGATCTAAAAAGAAATTCATTGTTTGAATTAACTAAATCTTAACCATTAAAAATAAACAGTAAAAGTTTTTCCATATATATATATATATTATTTGGCTATTGTACTTATTACAAATACTAACACCTTCCTTTTAAGCGAGTAAAATTACCTTTATTCAAAGTGTGCATACCGTGAAACACGTGTATTATATGCTTTAATTTAATCTGTAAATTATGGATGTTTTCAAACAGCAAGACAGTTTTACAAACTGAAATTTTACCTTGAAATATGTATCATTTAAACATTAGTAAAAGTTATTACTACACCATAGTACTTCATAATGGAATAATAATAATCTAAGTGGTTGAAGCAACAAATGTTCATGGATTTGTTACATGTAACTTTTTCGCGGATAAAAACATTGTTTCCACTGCGAAAAGCGCTTACTTGAAAAGCGCGAAATAATTTCTACAGTAATTTAGAAAAATGAAAAGTAAGAATAATTTTTTTTAATAAAAACTTGCATAAAAAGAATTTTTAAAGACAACAAAGTTTAATAGCAAAATTTTAACTTTGGCAGGTTCTGTTTGGAACAGTAGAAGTAAATGTACGATCTACGTCACATTGTTGGATTTGTAAATTCTTAATTATATTTGTTCGTTGAAATAAAAATCATTTTTGTTATGAAAATTAAAGGAAATTTCAATCTATTAATATTGTATGGGTTAACTTATAGAACACTTCGAATTTAACTTTGACGCCATAAAATTTTATGATAAGCGATAGACAGGTAATAATTACTCAAAACGTATGATTCTGGTGTGTGTTTCATTCCATTCTTTTTCATGTCAATAAGTTTTGATTCCCTTGCATTCATTGATGTTATGGCAGCATAGCTGTGTGCAGGCATGTCGATTTCCGGTATCACTTCAATGTGACGCTGGTTGGCGTACTTAAGAATGTCCCGATAATCTTGAACGGAATAAAATCCTGAACCAGTGTTGTTGCTAAAAGGGCCCGAACCAAGCTGAGGTATCAAGCATTCACCGATAATGTCGCTATGACATCGTTTACTTCCAACCTGTGTTAAAGAAGCTAAGTTGTAACATAATGTTAGTTTTTATCACAAAAGAAGAAATAACGTGGGTTTTTTTATGCTGTTTTTTTTATATCGAATGGCAAACATGCAAATTATTATTTCAGAAGTAATTGTTACCCTACCTGAGTTAGTTCTGGTATTTTTGGTATTTCAATCCTCCATCCTTCGTCATTGCTTAAGTGGAAATGAAGTTTGTTAAGTTTGTACATAGACATGATGTCCAGGAATTTATATATCCAGGTCTTTGGTTTAAGATTTCTAGCAGTGTCAAGCAACACACCACGATAGCGAAACCTGAAATAAAACGAAAACAGTTATATTTTGCTAATATAAAATTAAAAATTAAAATCCACAAGTGAGAACGCAGCCACATTAAGCCCTGTGCAAGGGGCCATTGGAAAGGAACCCGTCGAGCACGTAACAGGAACAGGCATAATATCGAGGTCGATACAGAAATCTTAGCGAGAAAGGGGTCTAAACAAAGTATCGGAGAATTTAAATAAGGAAAATAAAGATGCAAATTAAAGGGACGGAAATTAAAGAAGAAAGCTGTTAAGCACTCTATGAGGATTTTACTTAAATAAAATAAAGAAATTAACAGAAAAAAATCAGTTAAAAGTCATTGATGAATGATTTGTCATGCCTGTCATATCATGTTTTCTTACTATGACCATGGATTGGCTTTTGGAATCTTACCTTGGTTTATCAATGATGACCAGTTTATGTAGCGGACCATCATGACCTTCTATGATGCTTATAAGAGACTGAACACCATGAAGTGCACCTTTTGGAGTCAAAGCCTTTATTAGTATGGTTCTTGTTTCTGGTGAAACATTCAAAATATATGCTTCATCATTCTGCTCTCCGGTGTTTTCTTTGACTATTTCAATGTATCTGTTTCTTGTTTTGGTGTTTACCTTTCGTACTTGTAGTTTATCTAAATGTGTTTTCAACAGAGTAATATTAAAAACGCTATTTAATAATAATATTGCATATATAAACTGTATTCGTTTTCATTCTTTGTACGTATAATGAGTACTTTTTACGTTTTTACCCTTATTTTTATTTAATTACAGTAAAATTTGATTTTTTTTCAGTTTCAAGTTGAAACATCTTTCATAATAATATTATTAAAACCTGTAAAAAATTGCTATGATTATGTGGTTGAACAATATGCAGTACAATAATTAGAAGTTACAGAGATGGAACATAAGAGAGATAGTCTAATTATGATAATTACCTGATAAGTATTGCGTTTCGAAGGGGAATTCGCGTGAATGAATGATTACCCAGCTTTTTCTGTCAAAGGCAAATGTTTCATTTTTATTTTCAGTAACATGAAGTGGCTTTGGAACAATTCTGTGTTTACTCCTCCGTTTATTGGTTCTTTCGTAAATTTCGTACCGTTCTTCCGGTGTGAATGGATTCCATTGATCGTCATTGCTTCTCTTCCACTTCGCTGGAGTGTCAAAGTCCTTGACAAATTTCCCTTCTTCTTTTGTGCTTCTTATTATTTTTGGTCTGCTCCCGTGAGAGCTTAAGTACCAGTTTAGGAAAAAGTCTGTTTTCGCTACTGTCCAATGTTTGTTAAAGAATGTACAAATTATGAATTCTCCGATCGCTATTCCTTTAAACTCGTTCGGAATTGGTTCAAAGTAAAAGAGCCCTCCGTTCACTTCATCTACTTTCAGACCACACGAAAGATTTTCCACTCTTACACCGTAAAGACTAAAATAGGTAACATTATATGAAAACAAGAGCACCATAGACGCCCGAATATAAATTTGTTTGAGGAATCAAAAATAATCTTTCAATAGGTGAGAAGACCCAATCAAAACAATTGTTTTAAAAAAGTTTTTTTTTCTAATTATCCTGATGATACTATATGACCTCCAAGGCGGGGCATGTTTTACCCTAGGTACATGATTTACAAACAATTATAGAGGTCTACTAGGCAATGCCATATGGCAAATACAAAATTGTATAGAAACGTAGTAGGTATTTTTCAAAGGATGACATGTATTGGTTTTTACTTTAATCTATTTACAGCAAGTGACTCCCGGGGCAGGGCCAATTTTGACCTATGGGTCACGATTGATATAAACCTACTAGAAGTCTACAAATTGATGCTACATGCCACACTTTTAGGCTGTGGGCATTGTAGTTTCGAACAGTAGGACTTAATGTGTTTTCCTATATAAATCAAGTGACCTCGTGTCGGACCAATATTGAACCTAGGGACATGATTAATATCGGTTTTGCAGAGTCCATAAGGAAATGTTGCATGTTAAATATATTAGCTCTTAGCATTGTAGCTTCATACAACAAGACTTAAATGCTTTTATTTCTATCCGTCTCTTATGAGTAATATTTTTGCCAAAAGGTTTTAATTTCCATCATTCGGTTAAAAAAATACAAAGAAATTTAGAAATTCTTACAACATGGCTATGTCTTAGAGTTTGACTTTGACCTTGACCAGGGGAAGACCAAAACATACGCTATGCAGCATATGATCTCATTATGGTTAAACAAAAATGTAAATTGTGCCTGGTAGTTACAATTTTCTTCCTTCAAAGTATACTGACCGGACATGAAATTGATAACAAACGGACGGACGACTATGTGTATAAGAATATACACAATTGGTACTGTTATGGCTTGCATACTGCTTAGAGGCGTGGGATGTGTGACACGTGGTCTCAATCTGGTACGGAATTAGACCAAACCCGTTGTAGTCTAGCAAGTAGTTCTTTAAAATTTTGAAGTGACCCAATTTAAGTCATCTCTAGTTAGATTGGTCATAATTAAAGTGTATTTATTGCATGTGTGTAGTTTTTGTGTGTTATATGATGACTTTAAAAGTTGTATTTTGTGTATTCTCCAGGAACTCATTTGTTGGCGGAAGGATTAAAGATGTACCACCCACCAGCAGTCAGGAGTTTTTAAAGCAGTGAAGTTAAACAGTGTTCCACAGAACGAAGATTTCTGAAAAAAAGTAGATGGCTAACCTATTATATTTTGGACCTCATTTGACTTTGATAGTGTTTATGTTTAAAGTTGAAGACAGTATATAATTCACTAAGAACAGTGGAATCCAGAATTAAGCCTCAAATGTGACTGATTTACTATAGAACAAAGAATACGAAACTTCACCGGATGGAGACCACGTGAATTTTCGCCTTTAAACATACTCATAAAATCGCAGCTAGCGGTTTTCATTTACCATTTAAATGTTCATGCATGTACATATGAGTGTATTGTAGATTGTAGTACATGATATATGCATTAGTTTTCATGTACACCCAAATTAATGATATGAGTGTTTATTACCTGGTAAAATAAATTTACTTATCATGTTAATTTCATCAAAAGTTAATATAAATATTATAAATACAACCTGCTGGGTAAATTTTGCAAACTCCATTTTAATTGACACTTTAAATAAATGAATGACAATTAAAACGGTAACAGCTGTACTGACACTAGCCTTATCCAGTTACCAATATTGGTCATCAATATTATAACAACACCCGTCATGCCTCCACGCACCGGCTTTACCGCTGTATCTATGAAATGTTGCGATGTGAATAGAATTAAACTGGAATACAGCAATAATACTTTCTTAATACCTATTAGAATCATTTATCAAATTTTAAAACTATTTACATTTATCGTACTCGAATTAAGGAAAAACAATAATAATTTACTTATAGAAAAATATTTTCCAAAATGCTGTGGGTATGGTCTCATTTCCGGCATTTCGAAATAGTACATCAACAGGAACATGGCCATCAGTTTTATTGAGATTATCTCTGACTGCTACTTCAAGTTCTAAATTATCGGCGATGTAGTCTACTGCACTTTGTGATAAAGTTGCCACACTAGCAACTGGACCTACAATATACGAGAAAATGTGTACGAAATCAGTATTACAATTTCATACATAATATTATAGAAAACAGTTATTAAAATGATGATTTTATTTGCGTGCATTTTTCAATGAATGCATATAAATAGTTAATATGCAGTGTATTTTTTCAAAAAGTCACAAGTTATTTCAGATTATAATAGTCAATGTTTACAAAGACATGTAATAATGTTCTTATTGTAGTAATTAATATAAAAAAAAAAAAAAGAAAAAGAAATTCCCTAAAGAAAGCCTAACACGGCAAAATTGAAAATGTTGCAGGCTCGGTTTGATTGAACCTGTTCATGGGTGCGGCTTGTCCCGTTTAAGCGAATTTTCTGTCTTTTATTCTCTTTTTATTATCTTATCATTATTAAAGTTAGAATAAAACATTTTTTAAGAACGGAATAAGCATTGTCAAATTTTTCTTTTAAATTGCAAACTAAATTAAAGTTATTATCTTTTATATTATTGGACAATTGACATCATTTATGATTATGTTGTTATAATTCATCATTAACCGACTCAATAATATTCACCAATGAATAAACTTCACTCACGGTTGTAAACAGAAATTTATCACAATACTGTAACACCGTGAAGTATTTCTTTCATGGTCATTTTTTTCTAATTACCTAAGTGATTTATCACATAATCGTTTTATAAGTGTATATGTAAATTAGTGAAATTTAAACTCGTTAGAAAGATCATGTAAAAGTATGCAAACTACGATAAAGTGATGTGAAATTAATGTTGATATTTATAAATGCGTATATTAACTATTACAAACAAAGAATTGTTTAGGAAGTGGATTCAGTAAAAAAAAAAAGTTTCTGTCAGTAAGAAATCTCTTCGTGCAAAATAATATATCTATTGAACTTTTTGTACTTTTTATCAATCTTGCAGTTTATTTTACATGGCGAAACTGGAAATGTTATACCCAGATTGATGCAAGTCTGGGCAAAAAACTATGCAAATTCTCAAATCCCCTCCCAGTATTTCCAAGAGAATCTTTTTATTGTGCTAAATGGCCTTTTTCATTCAAATCCGCACAAAACATCGATTTTTTTATTTAATTCTGAGTATAAAGTGACTCACTTGATATTTGTAATATTTTCAAATTTTATGTTTTTATGCCTCTGGACATCCGAGGAGTTCATGTAAACATCTATACAAAACATGATCGCGGTGTTTTCTTATATTAAGATCAAGGCATTAATAAAAATGAATTTAATAACGCTATTTTATTGTTTCAAGGAAATAATTGTTTTGGCATATCGGCAGTTGACAATGGTATAACAACTCTGGCATACTAACAACTTTTGTCATTAAGCGTATGTAATATTGCAAACTCAAGTGACATGTTGAAATAAGATAAGCAAGTAAATGTTACACTACTAAATCATGGAAAACGGGTTGCCTTTAAAGTCCTAAGTCTAAAATATGTCTAAAGAACAAAACTGAGACTATTTCCATTTTAAAGAAAAAATGTCTCTTATAACATGACTCTTTAATTACTGAATAGTAAGGCAGATGAACTTTTACACATTGAGGAATGAAGCGGGAGCCATTGTATTTTGTAACTTTTTTAAGGAGAATGAAGAAAAAAAAACTATAAAACCTATAATTTGCCTAGGACTTAGGATTTATTTCGGACTTTCGCTGACACAAAGCCTATCAAATTGCTGATTAACAGTGATTTTTTTTCTATATACCTATATAAGTTAACTGACATTTTAAATAAATAGTTTTAAAATCATTTTAAAATAAATCATGATTCGTTTACTTCAATTGAGTCATATACTGTTCCATTTTATAGAAATACGTTAGACAAATAGATTATTATAAAAAAAATACATGTCTTTTCTTTTTCCACGATTTGCTCGCCCATATGGTCTCTTTCCGGTGGCGAGGGTAAACAAACGCAAACACACACACCACGATTTTTTTACCTTTCTAGAAATAGTAAAATGCATAGACATACCATGAAAAGCAACTCAATTAAATCAAATATGTAATTCAATACATTACTTTATTCTACAAAAATGTTTATTAACATGATATAAAAAATAAAATGATAACAAACCTGTTGCCAGAATAGCTAAAAAATATCCAAACACGAAATATTGTAACTTCATTTTATCTTCGACACAACAATAGCGATTAAAATATAACACATGACACCTATAGTTTAAAATTTCAAGTAATTAATTTGATTTTTCTAATGCACCATCAGTCTTGCGTAAACAATTTAGTAACCTCTGTTGCGACGATTTAATATGCAAATATATACAACGGGAGATAAACTCGCAATTTTTAAATGATTGTACAAAAATGTGTCAAGGAATCAATTGTAGCAGATAAAGATGTTCAAACTAAAATTAAGAGGTAAAATTAATAAGGTTTATATAAACTTCGTAGGAGCATATGGCATACAATTATCAAACGTTTTATTAAAAGAGGGTATGACCCAATTATTTTGAGGCATACCGCAAGCTTGGTGTTCAACCCTTTTACAGTTGGACGCTACGGTTTCCTCTTTTGGTAGCATCTGATAGTTCAAGTGAGATATACTATAATGGACAGTTCTTAAAGCCTTTCGGACTTAGTTTTTAATATTCTGTTTTGCCTTGCCAGGCCCTTGTAGGCGATTTTCTTATTGCTCTGCTTTCCTTGAAGACTTCGAATACTTTTGTTATGGTCATTGGACTGTACCTTCTTAGAATATATTTGCATGATCATTTGTGTGCTTTTTTATTTCGTCTAATGTACCAATGGCAAATGTTAGAATTATCGACGCGTTTAAAAAATAAGTCATCCGAGAAGTTATTATTTCGATCGTTTAGCACGACATTATTTTGAGTTTGTGCTATTTCTAGTTATTTCTATTTGGCTTCATCTTTTGTGTAGTTACATTATTCCTTGTATATCTATTCACAAAGAAACAAAGTAAAGAGGGACTTCATCTTTTGTGTAGTTACAGTATTCCTTGTATGTCTATTCACAAAGAAACAAAGTAAAGAGGGGCCTTTTTTCTATTCAAAAGGAAAGAAATACATATACAATGATAGTTGTTGGTGGTTTGAGTTAAAGTCGTGGTTTGTAGCCTACAATCATCATATTGAAGACAAGCATAACGTTTCAATTAATTATTATCAATGAATATGGGAATATATCTTGCACGCAAAACCTGATCACGAATTGTTCTTAGTTCGTAAAGGTTAATCATTTGACAGTTATTCGTCTTTTTACCCAATATAGTGTTTGAAATTATTTTTGTCCAGTAGAATTGCAAAAATTCAAACCGATTATAACATATTCATATTGTTAAATCTGCTAAATTTGATCAGTCTAGTAAATCGATTGTTTTATAAAAATAATTTCAAACGCTAAATTGGTTCGCCATTCTTAACCAATTTAATTTTGTAAATGCTTTCATATGAAGCATTGTGGGTTAAACTAAGAGAATCTGGTATCAGCTGTAAATCAGCAGTAAAATGGTAAGAATAATAAACGCTATCTATCAGGCTTTAAACGACCAAGCCCTCAGAGCATAAAACAATCTCCTCTCAGTTATAAGTAGAAAAAAATCTTGATATAAAACACAATTATCATTGTTTTATTCTCTTGTAGTCCCCATACTTTTATATGCTTATATGGTTCAGAAGTATGGGGAGTATGCAATTATAAAGAAATTGATAAAATTCATTTTCGTTTTTTCAAGAAAACTCTTGGTGTTAGAATCCAGACATCAAATATTGCAGTACTTGGTGAGCTTGGTCGTTTTCCATTGTCTGTATTATGTAAAGAGCGAGCTTTCAAACAATGGTTAAAGATAATGAAATGTCCGGGTTCACTTATGTATAACATTTTTTTCTGAAGAAAAGTTATCAAAAAATCTAAATTTAAATAATTCCTGGACTTTGTCTGTGATAAAATTGTTAAATAATTTACGTTATGGATACTTATCGAATGAAACAAATTTTGATATTAACTATTAGTCTGTATTAAAGCAAAGATTACGGGACCAGAATGTACAAGAATGGAGTGAAACCATTGCAAATCATCCAAAACTTAAATTTTACAGTTCGTTTGAGACAGAATTTTCTTTTGAAAAATATTTGACTGTAGTAGAAAAAGTTCCTATAGACAAACAAGTTCTCGATTTAGATTGTCGTCACATAATTTAGAAGTTGAAAATGGTAGATCTGTCGTATTTGATAGAAATGATCCTATCTGTAAATTGTGTAGTAACGAGTATCTTTTTTACTCTGTTGTCCTATTTATAGAGGGCTGCGTGAAAAATATTGTATAAAAATCTGGAAACAAAGTGATCCCTCGGAAGCATTTATCCGAACAAAATTACATGAAAATTGCAAAGTCTGTAAATGAGGGATAATGTTTAAGTGCAACATACCTCACGCCCCCTAGCACCGGATTGAGCGGTACTCAATAAAAAATAAGAAATGTTGCAAAATTTACTTCATGTGCTATGAGTGTTATTATATCTAAACGAAAATAATTAATAAATAAAAAGTAAAGATATATGTGATAGAAACAGATTTAAATAAATAACTCATGTTGTCCATAGTTTGTGCACAAATCATCCGTACTATGAAAACAATTGGAAATCGTGGTTCCAACCCCATATAACGAATGATGTATGCATTTGCAGAATCTGTAAATTAATTAGTTTTGCGTACAAAAGATTCTAAATTTGTGCACATAAAATAATAAATAAAATGAAAGAAAATAAAAATACTGCAACAGTCTTGGTTATTTTATTTAGTTATTTGTCTGGTTATTTACCTTTGTCTGATTTTTTTCTGTCTATTATAGAAACTCTGCAACGTTGGTGAAAGCAAAACTCGAATATCTGTTATTGGTGAATACCCAAAATTATCACGTACATCACTACCCAAAATTCTGACTTAAAAATCGACAGAGTGTTAAAAATTATACCTTAAAGCGTTTTTACTGAACTTTCTTTTTTGTAAAGAAATATTCGAGTAATACCTTCCCGATGTTCTGCGGTGCTTGCAAAAGTTCAAATCCCCTCACTTTGCATTTTTAAAATGCGTTTTGAAATAAATTTGCAAAAAAGAATTGTTTAGATGTATACAGATTACGAAGATTGAATTTCATCGTTATAGACAGTTCGATAATAATATTTAACCATTTCACAACTTTTGTTTACATTTGAAAACAACAAGCCAAACTATATTGAAACTTTATAAAACATCTCTATTGCTCGTTTACTATCGACATTAACTGTTTCTGTGCGTGACCAGGTGGTGTAGACATTCCGTAAGACTAGCCATTTACAGACAGCAGGAAACAAAATCCACGGTTCGTTAAACAGTATGCGAAAAGACCAAAGAATATATATATCAAATTGGAATTTGATTATCACAAAAAATCAAGTGTCATGCTAAAATAGCTACAAAGTTAGAAAACAATCATATCAAATAATAACTTCCATTGAATATAATCTTAGTCATATAACTATCCAATGTCCTGTCAAACAGTTTTTGTAAATTGTTTTCTCCGTGCATAGAAAATAACAAATTTATATTATATGAATGTGATATTCACCGATCAACAGTTAAAATATTCTTTAATTTAAACTTACAAATCTAATAGACAAACATGGCATTCTCATTGAAAATGATTTCAATGTTTCTTTAACACAGCCACACATGACAAGAAATATGTTCCAGCTTTGAGACTTTGTAAGGAATGTCGTTGTTTTTGTAGTGTCTGTCTACATTTCTGTATAGAGAAATGTTTTTGTTTGGATAAATTGATCTAGTTTTATAGATAGATAGATTTATTTCAGTATTATGAAATAACATGGTAAAACATATTCAATACATGATAAAACAATTAAAACAAACATTTAACATGTTTGAGAAATGAACCCACATCAAAGACATCATACCTAGGATAACACAATAAAGAGAATTTAATCACTTATTTCCATTGTTGTCCTCAGATACTGATGGTTAAGACAAAGGGAGGCATGAAGATGAATATCACAGTTTGAATTGAAGAAAGACAATAGTATACATGTACATAAAATATTCAAATGAATAATAAATATAACAAAATAATCAAAATTAGAATAAAAGGATAGACATGAATAATAGAGATAACTACAGTACCCATTAAGAAAGTGTGTGTATTTTTTTACAGCAAATATCTGCAAATGATCTTTGCCCAAAACCTATGACCTTTATCCATTTTCACCAAAATCTTATCATTTTAGTATGAACATAATCTAAGTAAATACAGTTTTCTTCCATGTATTCAGGGGCAAAACCATTATTTATTTAAAAAAAAACATTGATTTATTCCTCTTCGGCTGGTGGCTAATTTAAACTTTAAAATGTTCAATGAGTGACTTCTGACCAAGATTAAGAACAAACGCTTTTAACGTATTTGTGTGACCTTGAGTTTACCCTTCAGTATTTAGTAACCACGGAAAATCAAAAACAGCATGCTTAACCAAAATGACATTGGATGAGGGCCATAACCAGAAAATTTAAGTGTGGAATATGTAGATAATAATCATGTTTTCTCTACAGGAACTTAAGCATTACATTGGCCTTTTTAATAACGGAACTTGACATTAATTCATCAGAGAGAGTGATGAAGTGCAGCACATAAATATTTGACTTTGAAGTTGGCTGTATATCAGTTCCTTTACAACTGACATTTACTTTAACCAATGTTTAGAACTAAATAACATTGTCCTCGTTTTGCTTGCATAAGTGAAGGTAAAGTTTATTATCAATTAACCAATGAATGACTTAAAAAGGCAGAAGAAGTTCATCTGGTTTTTTTTTTTTTTTTTTTTTTTTTTTTTTTTGGGGGGGGTTGTTGTTGTTTTTTGTTGTTGGTTTTTTGTTGTTGTTGTTGTTGTTGTTGTTGTTTTTGATATTGTTTTTCAATAAAAGACCTATTTCTATCTGCAACAAGAATAGCAGAATCAATTGCATAAAGACAAAGTTTGTTTTCACTGCAGTTTGCAATAATTAATATGCATTAATAAGGGTCCCAAGATAGTCCCTTGGGGAACACCGCATGTAAACTTTTCACCTGAGGAAAATGTGCCAGATACATTAAAATGTGTTGTCTATCGGACAGATTTGACCTAAACCATTGTAAAACATCAGTGCTGAGAAAAATGGCTTTTAATTTCATTAAAAGAATTGAATGTCAAGACTTTAAAACAATTGCCTGTACAAAATGAAAGACTCCAGACCATTGGCATGGTAATACAGTCATACATTGTATATTTCCCAACTTTTGTTCAAAGGACTAAAATGGTTAAGATATGCAAAATAAATCTCACTGAAAATTATTATACATTTTGTACAAAGAATTATTGTAAAGATTTAGTAAATACAGAGCACAATGGTAACATAAACATGAAAAACTTACAATAAACTAAAGCGTTTGATACAATAACGACAAAACAATAAATGCTGTCAATATTTGAGAAAATAAATCATACTGAAATTATTCAGAAATTTATTTCTTTTCAGACTTTCAAAAGTAAATGAAAGATGCCTTAGAATGACTTGAACAAGAGAAACCAAAAGTATTGGAAAAAAATATTTAATTATGGATAAAGGGAAAATGAAATAAAGAAGGAACTCGGAAGCAGAAAGGTGGTGATCAGAGAACTGACAACCACTGGTGATAACGTTGACAAGATATTTTTGTCATTTTTCAAGACAAACAATAGTCTGAGGTAAACAAAACAACTGCTAGCTCTTACGTGGATATTTAGCTTTAAATTCATTTTTGTGTTTCTTATCTAAACAAGTTCCTCTAATTTTTAACTATAACTGTAAATCTTGATAATATTCAAGCATTAATGAGTCACCACTTTATCCAAATAAAAGAAAGTCTTGCTCTCAATTCCATAAGTTTTTGGTTAAGTTGACTTATAAAACTTAATAAAACTTCCCAAGTTTGATTTGATAAGAATGACCATTTTCTCAAAGTATACCAACACTTGCACTAAAAATATAAAATAATGCCTAGGTGTTGCCTATAGTAGCAATAACTTTCCCCTTTATCTCCCTTTTTTTCAGGTCCCAACTGGGTTACTTCGTTTATTTGTCCCGTTATAGATCTGAAGGGGTCTGGGCATACCAATCATACCTGACATAAATTGCATATACGGTTAAAACATAATGTACATATCAATCAAATCATATACATAATGTCATTTTATCACATTGCATAATGATTAACATTTATAACACATACAGTATACATGTATTTAATAACATTAATATTAATATCATTTATTGAATTCATAAAAAGAAAGAAAGAAAAGCGGAAATAACATTTGAAGAACAAATAATATCATGTATATGAGTTGATTTTTTTTAATTAGTGGAATTATTCAATTAAAATGTATTTGTATGGTTGCACAATAAAAGATTTAACAATCGCTAATGTATTGATTTCTTCTTCTGTCAAATTTGTATTTTTGTTGAGAAAGTCAGTGGAATGTACAAGTAAAAAAAAAACTAAAATGACCGTGTTATCTGACGGTAGAAGTATATTTATATGTATTTAAGTGACAAAATATTCATAGACTATCTCAACAATAATCTGACCTTATTATGATATTTATATGAATGTTCGTGTGTGTGCGTGCGTTCGTGTATGTGCGTTATTAATAATACATGCGTGAACGTTTTTATAACCTATTCATTTATGCTATTTTTCAAATGTTTACCTCTTATCATCAATATTTAAAGTTTAGAATATTGCTTAAGATGTGTAAATAACTTCAAATCGTTTCTCTTTGTTGCTATAATGCATTACCTGTTTATTTATTTAGACTTTGTAAACAGGATGACGAAAGTTATATTTTTAAACCATTGGTTTCCCAAGATTACGATCATTTTTTTCTGTTACCGGTTGAACATTTTGTCTTCTTTATCCTATACCAATGACCTGAATATTGTAACATCTAATTTAAATGATAAATGAGATATGTTATATTATGATAATAATTTAGTTAGTTGCAAGATCACAGTATGACATATTTTGGCAAAACTCTGATAAGATAATTAAGCTAATTTTGTTTACACAAACATTAATTTGTAGCCGATATTCTAGTCCTTAATAGTGATATTGTAAACCCATTAACTGTTTAATATCTGAACAAACAAAATATCCGTCCAACTTTTGTTTAATGCTAAAACCTGCTTGTGTTTATAAAGATAATGAATATGTCTGCGCATACATGTTTATGTTTTTGTGTTTCTTTTGTTTCATCTTGCTAAGGTTAATTCAGCATATTGTCGTGTATTTCCATTTGTAGACTTTTCTTGGCCTTTTTTATTTTTTTTTAATATTTAATAATGCAGTTGTCGATATTTCAAAAGTCGATGTGTCTGTCATCTCTGAAAGATCTCTGAAATTCCCTTAATGAATGAAAACCAGGTTTACAAGTAGATGAATTTAAAGCAACCATGTGTTTACGGAACTATAATTCATTTGTAAACCAGGATAGATATATTGCATGCAAATGATATAATACCTAGAGTATCTGTATGAAAATGTTATTCACACTTATCGCTGGTATAATATCAAAGTCCTTCATATCTCTTATTGTATTTATATAAAACTCCGGTTTCCCCCTCAAAAAAGTTCAAACCGTACAAAGATTTTAAAGTTCACCGACATATATACTTTAAGCACTTAAAAACATTAGCATAACCAAGTAGTCGATTTCGAGAAGAACTTCTTATTTGTTGTTTCCGTAAATGACACTGAGAATTATGAGTAATATTCCTAGAAGATGTTCTTCAACATAACTTCAGTTGTCTTCAATACAGATAATTATTACAATGTTAAATGTACCGGTAAATATATAAAAAATACTTTATACCAGTACAAATGCCTTCTCTCTCCTAAGTTAGAACTTTACAGATACAAAAAAATACTCTAGATGTGTTCATGTTTTGTAACAACAAAAAAAGAAAATATTTTTTTTATTTTATCCTTCTAAAATTATACAGTCATCATCTTCACTCTCGTAATCAATGTCGGAAAGGTTGTCTTCCTCGTAATCATCAATGTCGACTGTACTATATTCCATGATATCGTCTTCTAATTCTGTTGTCTCTATAGTTTCAATGGGTCTAGCAGCTGACGCACCTTTACATCTTAGTAGATACACAACACGATCATGACCACGGTAATGAGCTAGATCCGTCGCTGTGTAACCAGTAAAAGTTTTTGCACTAAGTTTTGGTCTAGATCTTGATAGTATAATTTCAACAATTTTGTCACTTCCTGATTCTGCTGCAAAATGTAAACACGTTTTTCCTGCTTTCATTTCAATAACATCAACATTTGCTTCTTTCGACAAAAGCAGTGAAACAACCTTTTCATATTTATGGATGACTGCTAAGTGAAGACATGTCAGTCCTTCACTATTTCGTATATCTAAATTTTGAGGAATTGGCTGGTATGGAATTGTGTATGAATTAAGTTGTGTCTCTTTATAAGTGACCGCTGTAACCAATGATTCTACCACGTCAGTAAAACCCTGTCTACAAGCAATGTGTAAGGCAGTATTACCGAACCTGTCCCGAAACTCGACATCAATACCAGCAATCACAAGACGCCTGGCTATCTTTGCATTTTCTGTTAAAGCTGCTAAATGCAGCGCTGTCTGAAACAATTTATTAAACACTTTAAGCCTTGAATAATGTGAAATCAAATCTATAAGAAGAATAGAAAGGTGCGTTTTATTAGAAATGATTGCAATAAATAATAAATTATCTCCATCCCTATCAGGTTTGAGTATTCTGTCGGTATAAAGTTTCGTTTCCTCTTCTGTTGAAGCATCATGCTCGCACAATTTCTCTTCACCTTTTGTCAAGCACTTTGTCTCTAAACTAGGTTTTGTGTTGATAAAATCAAAATCAAGTCGACTTTCGAAAAGATTTGGATCTCTTTCTTCTCTCAGTAAGTGTTTTTTCGTAGTAAAACCTGACTTAGAATTACCCCAGTCGTGTTCACTGTAATTTTGATTATCTGTGTATTGATCGTTCGATATATCAGGTAAATCCCAATCCGAATACAGTCCGCCATCAAAACGAAAAGTTGAATTGATAATACTGTCAATAAAAATCATTTTCTTTCTCTTTGGAAACTGTAGTATTTTGACTTTTGTAAATATCAAGTCTGTATACTTTCTCATTGTCTTTGTCACTAAATTTAATGACAACTCATCTGCATTTCTAAACAGTTTGAAATCATATCACCGAATGTATGAATAGATCAATTGTGTTAATATTAGAAACAATGAAGTAAGCGCCAAATATATCCAATAAGATCACACAATTATTATAATACGTTGTGAAATATCTATGAAACCTAACACATATGTAATACAATTTGTAAACGTTAGTCTCTTTAACACAAAATAAGGAAAGTAAATTTTGACTAGCTGATACTTAGTTATATTTGAATATTTGTACGTGTAACAATATATATAATTATATTAAACTTCCGTGTTTTGAAATCAACGGTTAAAACAAATCTCTCACTACCTACGATGATATCGGTTATATACAAATGTATAATATTTGCGTATATACAAGTGTACCTGTAAATGAATTGCTGACCTAAACCTTTTTATGTATTTAATAAAAGAACGTCTTTGTATTAGATCACAATTTTAAATAGAGTTGAAACTGGTTAAAGGTATTTTTATATAAAAGTAAAGACGGTAGTATATTAATTAAAAATTTGTTGTACAAGGTAAAGAGCCGAGAGGCGTTTACTATCCATTAGACACGTCATTGATCTCAATGAGGCTAACATTTTATAATATTTGTTTATGTTTAATTGCATGCTGTGAAGATGATTATAATATCGATGCTGCACATGGCGAGGGTGTTCCTACATGTTTTGTCTCTCTGATTGACAGTGGAAATAACCTATGTGTCAATGGACTTGCAAGGACTTCATTTTTTTTCCCGTTGATATTGGGTCTATTATCCCTTTCCTTACAAGCTCGGTCCAATTTGTTTTGATTTTAGGGTATCTTTTTAATCAAAGTCTAGGCGTGTCAATGTGAACTGTAGCAAGAGCAAAACATTTACCTGCAAGAGAGTTTTAATGGCAACAGCAGATAATTGTATATACAAAATCTGAGGTATACTTCACTCGTCTTAGCTAGGGTAGAAATTCCAATAAAACAGTATATATGTAACATGTTGATTTGGAATAAATGAGGTTACGCAACATGGTCTTAAATTGACTTAAACTACACTTTTATAGTCTTAAAGTTATAAAATCAAACATAGATCTAGATCAGTAGCGTATGTGCTAAACTTTATGCGAATGTTTAATTTTATGATTGATTATTAAACATATCATTCCAACATATCCCTTGATTTGGATAACATTGCGTGACTACAAACGAAAACCCAGCAGATGTCCCGGAACAGGACAAAACAATGTATTTTTCGTGTTTTAAGTTATTTTATTGCAACCAACATGAAACGTACATGCATTTGAAATCAAATGGGGTGTGGTCGCAAAAATCGACAAATAAGAAATTAAAAATTTGGTGTTGTTGTTGTTGTTAAATGTTGTCCTCGTTGTTGTATATATACGTTTACATATTGTTTATCTGGTAAAAATTTACTGTAAATTCTATTCGACAGATTTTATTCAATAGTTGCTTATGCGAAATGATAGAAATTTTCTTTCAATTATGCACCTTTTTAATTTAAAGATTACACATTTAATCACAGTAAGCTATATATTTTTACATAAAATTATTTTAAACTTTGTATGATGACTGAAAATGAATTATCGAAAATAATTTGAAATAGAATGCTGTTAATGTATAACACAGTATGCTTGATTTTGTATTATTTGCTCATGAAAGTGACTAAATATCACCTCCAGGGTCAGATAACTAAACAAGTAGAATCATCGTGTATCATCAGTTCGTTTCATTCATGATTCTCTTTCATCATGCAACGTTTAAGAAAATTCTCTGCGCTTGTTTAAATCCTCTGTAAATTAAATCAAGATTATTCTATTTAGTCTATATCCAAATCTGGTCAAATTCGGATATGTGAAGACTTAAAAGTGCTAGATTTCACATTAGATAAAATATCAAAGATTTTTCCAGACAATAACCCAAAAGTCTTAGCATAATTGTCAATTTAGCCAAATGTAGAAATTGCTCAAAACTGCTTCACACCAAATCGTAAATGCTCGAGCTTCACTCCCAAGAAAAAAAAAACAAGATCACCAAGGAAAGGTGGCATTCAATGAATGCATAAATCATTTCTGTTCCGATCAGAGTATTGTGAACGTAATTTCAAGAGAGGGCCGATCAAAGCAATGAAATGACATATAAAATCGGAATGCTTCACACCAAATCGCCAAATTTTCAGGTGAAATTTCGCATCGCTTCAAAACCGCGGTTCGGAATGTGAACAAAATACTCCCTTTTCGTAGAGCTACATGTATTTATACAATAAAACAAATGTCAACGTCCCCGTGAGGAGTTTGACCTTAATGGAAGATAGATAGATAATAATTTTGTTTTGGTGACTATTTAATATTAGGACTACTTTTTGACTTACAAAAATCTATCTGAAAGCACAGGTGGCAGTATCAGTGTTTGGACATAGAAAAGATCGATAGAATATTGATATTCATTGGACTTGAATTAGATAAGCTGTGGAATTCAAGTTCTTTTTATTGATGTAAATGAATGATGCAGCGAAATGCCTTCGGAATGCGCCTCAGTCGCCGAAACGACGATTTCCCGTGTTCCACATTGTTTGGCAAATGAAGATATAGTAGGCTTTTCACCTTTCTATAACTATAATTTTGATAGTGGAAATTTTTTTTTATATCATTACATCGGTTGTTTTGTATTTGGTACCTTATAGTAAGCCTTAGAGTGTTGAATTATTTTTTTTCAGGGTTGTAGTAGGGGTCCAGGGGCAGATAGGGGTGGGTCGTCCAAACACTGATACTGCCACCTGTGTCTGAAAGACCATGTTACAAAACGTTATCATAAGTGGACAAATCACCTAAGAATTACGGACAGGGCGGACCGTGAGACATGTAAATGAAATTTATATGGGCAAACACCGAACAACAATTTCAAATTAATATGCAAATATAAACATGGTGAAAATTCATTTTTTTCTGAGAAGCATGTAAATTAACAAGAGTGTCTGTACTTATTTTCAGAGGCACATTAAGTATAGCATTTTTATGTTGATCGAAGATATATGCAAATATATCAGATGTGGTTATTTCCAAATAACTGGTTTCTTACATATTATTTGAAGTAGATTGAATAGAATAGGATGGCGCCAATTAAAAATGATATTCTGATGCTAAAATATTAATAATATCACTTAGCAGTAGCAGTAGATGCAGTAGACAACTTATAAAACGTAAACTTGGCAGTAGCACAGCAGTAGAAGTAGCAAAATACATATACATGTATAATAAGTGTGCGTTCATAACAAACAAAATATAATATAGCGGAATGTAAGGTAACGCAACGTAACATAAGACAAATACATAACATTTACATACTTTTCAAATCACATGCAACTTATAGTCAACAGTTTATTGTCAATCTTGTACTACAAATAAGCAGATATTTTGCTGAGAAGGTTCGAATATTTTATTTGTTTTCATAGTTTTAACATAGCGTACTTAAAGGTAACCCAATAAACAGTATATTTTATACAACGTTTCATGTTTCATATTTACAAATTTAACAAAAATATAAAGCTTACTAACTAAAATATATACATTTATTACTTACTAACTGACAAATATATAGCATTATAAATTCGTTTATATCAATATTGTAAAATTTGTTGTATCATATTTTGGGGATCTTTCTGTTGAAAAAGTGTCAGAGTTAATTAAATCGTATACATATACATGCACAGTGCGGTAACTGGAGTGCAGGTATCAGTTACCCGCACTCCAGATAATGCCCGTTGATTGGTTCATTTTTGCTGGGGTTTACTTATTGTGACGGCAGAGAAAGGGAAAGGGGCAGAAATATCATATTCAAATGCTCGTTTATTGGTTAATTTTTTTCTGGGGTTTCATGTTATGACAACAGGGAACGTGCTGTCATGTTTGACTATGATACAAAAGAGAAAGAACACCAAAACTATGGAAAGCCTTGACTGTCTTCTGATTGTATACCACTACACTTCAGTCTACAATTAATGACAAGAAGTGTTTAATATATAAATATGATTTTATACAACGAATGCTCTTGAAACAACAAAATATATATAAAAAAAGTAATAAATTTGACAGTAATATAGAAAGTTGGTTTGCTTTAATGCAAGGATATGAGACAGGAAGCTGTTTGTGAAGCAGCAGTGTGTATGGGAGCATAAGGCCTGTCAATCATTGCAGTATAAAATTAAAGGAGATGCCCCAAAATTTAAGAATGGCATCTCACTTATTTCTTTACAGATACACGAACATGTAACGAAGAACATTTATATACAAAAGCAGCCGAATGTATATCGATATTTTCACTGTAATATATATTCGGTCACATATATTCATATTTACACCCATAATTACACAGGGTCATAACGACTTGCACAGTTATAAAAAAATTTATGTCTTGTTGGAATATTATAGCCATAATTTCATGAAATTTAACTGCATGCGCCTGGTTGACTTGTGTTGAATTCTCCTCAATTTGATTCTTTGACGAGTTAGTTTATATTAGAATTGGTTTTTGTGCTCTGCCTTAAGATGATGTCTGTTTAGTGAATTAATATACATTGTATATCAATTATTTCTTCGTTTTAATATTGTAATTATAAGTAATATAAACAATCTATATTCCTCTATACAGCTAAAATGTTTTGAAGGGTATATATAAAAATAGTACAATTAAGGTAATTGTTTCAAGTTTATATTAACATTAGCGCAAACGGAAAACATGTTTTATATATGAGATTTTTTCTCAAACCATTCCCATTAGCTTACACAACCTATTTTATACTTATAATTGTATGGGTCAATATCTATAATATTAAATATAAAGTTTGATTAATCCACAATCCGCCTTATGTCGTGTGTACATGATTAATATACATACGTATATGTAGATCTAACTAGTATTAGATCGATGTTTTGATTTTTAAATACAAAACTGTTCAATATGAAAATGCTTATATATAGCCTACGACATGTTTAGGATGATAATGATGCCGAAATATCTAAAAAAAATTAAAAAGCAATATCTGTATCTGTGAGGGTACGTCGTAGTAACCAAAATCTGGCTTTAACACGACGGTGAGGGGAGTGACCTTAGTCACAAAGTTTTATGGAGTTTTTGAATTGTTGAACTGTTGATGAACACACTTGAGAGTCACTTAATTTATTCCAGTCTAAGACTGTTCTGATGAAGAAAGAATTTTTGTAGTTTTCTGTTTTTACATATACTGGTCTGTAGCACTTTTGATTATTACACACATATTTTTCCACAATGTTACCACTTATATGGTCTTTATATGATTTAGCTCTTACAGATCGTCTAATGCCCTGAGGAGTTAGGTATTCCTGTATGCTAATTGCCGGTACTTGTTAAGTGTTGAATGATTTGAAATTTTGCACACAAGTTATTGGTCTAGATCTGGGACTTGTAATCTCGAAAATTTATTTACAGTCCCGTCAGTGGAGTCCCTTTAAAATCCAAATAAATTGTATATATGTCAATCCTAGCACATATACTTATCTTATTTATATCAATAAACCTTAAATTAAGTTTTATTGATAAATATGATTAAAATATGTGACATGGAGTCTGTCGTTCTGGTAGTTTGTTAACGTTGGCTTCATTTTTAAAAACAATAACAACTCTGCCGACAACTTGATAATTAGCAATTAAATGCTATTTTTTTTGGCGTTAAGACATTTGAAGTTTGATGTAATACTGTTAAGTACAATTCTTTTCAAGGTATCCTTATATGTAATATTGATTTATTGAATATATAATTCCTTATTATAATTATTATTCAATCACATATTTCGGACAGATAATTTTCGGACATTATATTCTAAGTAGATGTATTGTAATTGTGAGAGCTCTCTGACAGGTTTTTTTTTATACATAACACTGTCATGTATACATTAAACCCTCTGGCTGCACATTTTTACTATAAGTCTTCACACATTTCACATTTGGATGAATTATTCACTCAACACTTCTAGCCTATACACACTATTTTTTTTTGTTTGGAAGTAGGAGCATTTCTATTTTCATGTTTTATATTATGTCTAAATTAAACCCACCTGTCAAGGAACAAAAATTTGAATCAGTCAAATTTTACAATCAAATTTATAAACCGATCATGAACACAATTAGAGTCCCATTTTGTGAAATGTACTTTCACACAACTTGATTATTAAGATGGTAATTTGCAAATTTTTTTGTGTGTCAATTTGAATTGGAACCATAATGAGGCAGGAAACCAGTAAAACTGTTTCCCGGCGTGCGTAAATAGATAACTGCAGATTTTAATATCCACATATTTGTATTAAAGTTCTTACAGCATTTACTAAGAATTCTTAGCTGAAATAATACTTAATAGCTTATAATTTATATTGAATGGAAAATGGGTTTTGCTTTGTTGGTATGGCTCTTGTTATTTAATTATAATCTTCTTTGTTATTAGATATAAGCCACTAATCCACACATTAGTGAAAATTTCAGAAGGGAACTGTATTATTTTCAAGATCTGTAACAACTTCAAAGTAGATGAGAGTTTAACTCTATTGTCGTATTGAAAAATATGAGTGTTTTAACTGTCCCAGGTTCTAATCACTTATAAATGTACCATGTTTTTAATATTCGACATCAACATGCTGCCTTTGATTGATTAGGATGAATTACTGGATCAACCTTTTACCTGACACAGATTGTAATAAAACACAAATTAAAAGTACATGTGAAGACATAGAAATTAACAAAAAATGTTGATTCACTTCGGGCCTATACTACTGTTCATATTTGTAAACAACTTAAGTGCACAGTGTCTATTCTAGGATTTGAAAAACAGGGGAGATTTTTATCGCAAAGTGAGAATTTATTACATTTGTTGATTTTTTTCCTTCTTTTTCTATGTAAAATTTTCCCCCTGCCTCTGAAGAAATAGGGGGGGAAAATCTCAAAAATATGGGTGAATCCCCCCATCCCCCTCCTAGAATAGACACTGGTGCATTATACATATTTGAGTGTCAGTTGTTATATATTCATAAAAACTCTTTTTTTAATCTTGTACATGTCTATGTGCAAATTTAGTGTATAATTATATACAACATGATCTTTAAAAAGTCTTGTAATGGTACCTTAAACAGGGCTTTTTTTCACAGTTTGGGGAAGCAGCCCAGCCCTTAATTTTGGGGAAAAATTACATGGTATATTTGCAAAAGGGGAAGAAAAAACTTAATGTAAATTCAATTTTTGGGGAAAACTGCATGATTTTAAAGAAATTTTCTTTGGGGAAGCAGCCCTATACCGGCCCCTGTTATAGAAGGTAAAAAGGCCCTGCTTAAATCCATCTGGTAAAATGCAATAAAACAGATGTTTCTATTTGTGTTTCCACCACTTTCTATGTGTAAGCAATCTGTGATTGTTTGCATTCTTTAATCACTGCAAATTTTCAGTCAATCATTTTTTCCAAAATTTTAACAAAACATTGCTGAAATTCCCAATTCCATGGATATGGATCATGTAAAAAGCCCTGTTTGAGTCTATAGGACTTGTCATTATTTTGATATTATATTATCTTTTCCAAATTATTGACATTTCATAAATAATTTATCGAGCTTTTTAATTACATTTGTATACGGTGCTCATTGTTGTTTTTCTGCTGTATTATTTGTCATGTAATGACCTCATGGCCTGAAGCATTTTGTAAATAAAAGTTGTAGTTGAAGGATTCATAAGACAGTACTCCAAATAGGTAACATCTTTTATTTTTCAAACAATTATTTCTTCAGGTAGAAATGAGATAACCACTGATTCCTTAAATGTTTGTGCCATACATGTAGTATCAGCATGTCTGGAACTCCGCCTATACCAGAGCGAGTGGACAGTTTACAGATTGACCAGCTGCCATCTTTACCTACGAGCCCTCCTGTAACAGAATCAGACAATAATGCAGATTCACAGGGAGAAGACTCGCTGAGTATCGAGGCCAGCATTGTTGATTATGAAACTCCAAACTTTTTTAGGGATACATACAAAACTTTGAACAATTTTCGTGACAAAGGTGAACTGTGTGATGTTGAGATACAGTGTGGGCAGAGATCTTTCAAATGCCACAGAATTCTTCTGGCAAGCATCAGTGGCTATTTTCGGGCCATGTTTATGGGTAAAATGGCTGAAAGTAAACAAAATGTGATAAAAATACAGGATATTGATGAGAATATACTGGAGAATATGATAAAGTATGCTTACAGTGGAAAAGTGACAATAACTGTAGATAATGTACAGGGTGTTCTGTACGTGGCATCTATTCTACAGATTGAAAATGTTGCTCATGCTTGTTCTGAGTTCATGAAGGAGCATTTACACCCAGACAACTGTGTTCAAGTCCACGGTTTTGCAATGCAGCATAACCGAGAACAACTTATCAGGTACACTCAAGAATTCATTACAGATAACTTCAATGAGGTTTCTAAAACTCCAGAGTTCATGACCATGTCAGCTGATGTGATAGATGGAATTGTGAGCTCAAGTACCTTGAATGTATCAAGAGAAGAGGAGGTTTTTGAAGCTGTTATGCAGTGGATTAATCATGACAAGGAAAACAGAAAACAGCACTTGCCTAGATTGTTAGGAAAAGTGAAGCTACCGCTTATCAGTACTCATTACTTGATGAATAATGTAGCAACAAATGAACTTGTTAGAAGTAATCTGGATTGTAGAGATTTTCTTGATGAAGCCAAATATTATCAGATGTACATAGGGAACCTGTTGACTGACATGACTCTCTCTGACAGAACACGCCCCAGGAAGAGTTATGCAGGTATACTATGTTGTTAAAAATGTAATAGCTTAAACTGATATTTTTCATTTGAATAATTAAGAAATAGTACCAGTAAATAACAAAGACTTGAGGCATACTTTAAGAAAGGGTTGTTTTACATTGTTTCAATGATAGTTTTTGCACAGCTATGAATTAATTGAGAGTTGTTTGAGTTTTTAAGGAACATCAGATATCTCGGGCTGTATTTATTTGAAGAGATATTGAATTTTTAAGGTATCAACCTTAATGCTGCACCGAGATATTTTCTGACCCAAAACAATAGAAAAAAATGAAAATCCCAAAATGCTATAATTGAAAATGTTGTAGATGCCGTCCTAACCCAGTAGCACCACTTTAAGCAGAATTCTGCAGTTAAAAATTGAAAAAAAAAATCAGAAAATGGTAAAATAACCACAAAATTCTTGGTGAAAATGGTGATAACAATAGTTTCTCAAAATCTTCTAAAGATGTCACAGTCAGGGTTGTTTTTCTTCTAACAATAAAGTAACAAAGTTTTAGACCAGACCAACAATAATCAGCTTTTATAACCTTACTGATTGTTGAAATCGCAATAATAATGATGATATAATCATTGACAAGAATTTTAAACTGACCTTGTTGCAGTTATTTTATTATATGAATATTGTAGGTGTGTTGTTTTGTGTTGGAGGACGTGGTGCCTCTGGAGACCCGTACAAGACAATAGAGTGTTACCATCCAATGAAGGACAGATGGTACCAGGTGACAGAGATGCATATAAGAAGGCGTCATGTTGGCGTCTGCTGCTTCAATGGTAAATACAACATGTTCCTTTATTTCTTACTTTCTTTAACAAATACATTACAAATGTACTTTCAATCTGTTTATGAATGATGAACATAGACATATAGACATTGTCTTATGTTTCATGCCATGAAATTGGAATTGTATAGGTGGTTGACTTGATAAAGTACTTTATTCAAATATGTTTTTTAAAATACTGAAGACATAGTTACAGTTGAATCTGACATGTGCCACTAGGCTGGTCAGTTTTTGTTTTATTACCTGCTCATTTATAAAATTTCCAATTTTAAATTAAATACCTTTTGTAAATATTAGAAAGGACAGTTCCAACTTTAAGCGGTTTTAAGTCCAGCCAACACTATGACTTTCCAGTATACATGTAACTGGCGGAGGAATATCTAAATTGCCCCTCCCAAACCTGGTTTTATGTTGGGTTTAAGTTTGTACCTTTTGTTAGGTGGCTGAATACACATGAAATAATCCAAAGGAGGATTTGAACCAACAATGTTAATGAATAATTGATCTGAAGTAAGCAATTAAAGCCAATCAATCATAGAGTTTCCTCTAAAACAAAACTTTATAGCATGAAATAAGATCTGTGAAGTGTAGCTAAACTTGTTGTTATTATTTAATATTTGGTACTATATTGTAGGTCAGATATATGCTGTAGGAGGTCACAATGGAAGTAAACATTTAGGGAGTGGTGAGGTATTTGATCCCACCACAGCAAAGTGGAGGAAGATGGCATCAATGGTGACACAGAAAACAGGCGTGTATGTAGTAGTGTTTTTTTTTCCTAAATTTAAGAAATAATATATCCCAAACAGTGATTTTATCGCTCAATAATTGTCGTTTGGATGCAAGGATTTCTAAATATAGAACATCAACAGTGATTTTATTGCATAATAACGAACACTTTCGTTTCTTCTATGTTCAATTGGGAAAAAATGCTGGTTGTGTTAGAATTCAAATTAATACATCAAAAGTGTCAAAAAAGTGTTATTTCTTGTAAGGTTGTTTTTATTTGATACCAAATTTACAGTTATATTCATAGACATTTCCATTAATATACATGTATGTATATTAAATAAATTTGTGTTTATAGCCGTGGTTTAGGTCTGGCATGTCTTGGTGGTGCAATATATGCTGTTGGAGGGTTAGATGACAAGACATGTTTTGATACAGTGGAACGTTATGATCCGGTTGCTAATAGCTGGACACAGGTTGCCTCGATGAATTTACCGAGAGGGGGTGTTGGTGTAGCTGCATTAAAGGTTAATCATTAATCATTTCCTATTTTATACGGGTAATGTAACATTTTCATATGCTTTTCATATTCATATTATTAATGAACTTGTTAAGTAAGTATATGATTTATGCCTTGATAAGTAAACCTTTTATGTAGTTGAGAAAGATTTACCACATTGTAATGTAAAAAGAAAACAACAAATTTCTTGTGTCTAATTCATTAGTAATTTATATGATTTGTTACCAGGGTTACCTGTATGCTATTGGAGGTAATGACGGATCTTCGTCACTCAACAAATGCGAATGTTATGATCCATATGTGAACAAGTGGACTATTGTTGCATGTATGGGGAACAAGAGAGCTGGGGCTGGTGTGGGTGTACTTGATGGATATATTTATGCTGTTGGTGAGTTAAGAACATGTGTGTTTGACTTGTATAGAAATAAGAATAACCCTTCCTTGAATGTCCTTTCATAGATTTGTTAGTACAGCAATATTATGAAATATCTTTAAAAAAAAGATGAGTTGATTTATTTTATGCTTATAAATATTTACTTTGTAGTACAACAAAAAATATTGTATGCAAGCTGACACAAATTTTTTTTAAGTGATGTTCTAAAATATTAAAGTGTCAAAATGTTTCCCTTTGTAAATAAAGTTCCAGGAAAATTGTTAAATGAATATGATCATTTTACATTGTTTAAAACAGGTGGCTTTGATGATAATGCTTCCCTGGACACATGTGAGAGGTTTGATCCTCGTTCTGGCAAGTGGACCCCTGTAGCGAGCCTGTCATGTCCTCGTGGAGGTGTAGGTGTTGCAGCACTAGGTGGCAGGTTGTATGCTGTTGGTGGTCACGATGGTTGTAACTATCTCAACTCTGTGGAATCCTACAATCCTATCACTGACAGGTAAAGTTAATTTTATAATTGTCTTATCATTTTTTCAAGGCCATTGACTATAGTATTATTTATCAAATATGTAAGAATTATTGCTTGATTATTTTATTGACTGCATCTGGAATTTATAACAAAGGTGTTTACATTAGCAGTTACATACAACTAGATATTGGAAAATTAATATTGTAAAGTCTTGGGGTTTTTGTTGGGGTTTCATTTTTAGTTTTTTTTATGGTGTTTTCAAAATACTCAAGAAAAAAAGTTTCAGTGTTAATTGGTTTATTAAAGTAAAGTATGTTATTTAATTATCTTCTATGATTAAGGAAGATAAAGTGACATTGATTGCTTGGTTACTGTATAGAGGGAATGATTTGTGGCGGATTTTTTTTTTGTGTGTGTTTTTTTTGTTGTTTTTTTTGGGGGGGGGGAGGGGGGTCATTAATTTGTAAACGTTTTTAATCTATTTTTAAAGGGACTCCACTTAGGTTTTTTGAGATGATGGGACTGAAAATATTTTTTCAAGACAAATGTACCATTTCATGTAGGTTTAGACCACTAATCCTTGTGCAAAATTTCAGATCATTCGCGCACTTTGTTTTTCCAGAAAAATTATTCAAATTGTAAAAAATGACTCAAAATGAAAAGCGTTTAAACGCTTTTCCCTCAAATCCAACTAAGGAAAGCATAAAAATACGATTTTCAATTTATTTCAAAGTATATTTCTTATCTATCTTTGCAAATATTTCTCTTTATAGTGCCCCAGCTCATTTAAATAAGAAATTCAATTGTTATGTTTTTAGGCTTTTAAACCTCAGTGGAGTCCCTTTAATCCATAAATTCAAAATATTTCAGTTTTCATATACAAAAGACCATATATCATATACCTTATTAATATAATTATTATTTGCCCTCATATACATGTATAATGTATAAAAACTGTGATAAATTTATTTTAAAGTAAAATTTAAAGGAGCTCCACTGAATTCAAAGAGCCTGAAAACTTAAAAATAGAGTAATTTGTAGCCTTATTTATTTTAAGTGAAAAGCGTTGCAACATTTTTTGGTCATATTGCACAACAAAAATGTTTGTTCAGGAAAAAAAGGGGGTAAGGGAATGATCTGAACGTTTGCATACAGGTAATTGGTTCATACCTACATGTATCAAGTGATACACAAATCTCGGAACAAATATTTCCATTCCTTTCATGCAAAAAAAAAACCTCATTGGAGTCCCTTTAAAAACTGAATTGTAATTTGCAAGTTACATTATGTATTTATTTATGAAAATGTAAACATGTTTTGTGTTGCAAAAATTACTGAAGGTAGCATTTCAAATTCTATTATACAGTTTTAATCGTGCCTATATGTCTATATGAAAACTCCAAAAACGTCCTTAATTGTCATATGCTCAACTTTTTCGGAGAAGAAATTCAAGCTATTGCTACAGTCATGTTATCCCTTCCTGTTGTCATCTGAAACTTTAACATTGTCCTTTTTTTTTTATTTCTTTATGGATTGTCTTCATACTTGGATGCAACAACCCTTTGGACAAGATCTTCAAGTAGACCAGACTGAACTTGGCCTTGACTCATAAATTACCTTGAAGTTCATTGTCAAGTGTTTAAATTTTGCTTGGTTTTTGCTATCATTGGCAATACCTTTGTTATTTATGTTGGAATTAATTTCATACTTGGATACAACAATCCTTTGGACAAGACCTTTAAGTACATCCCGACTTTCACTCATTAATGACAATAACCTTGAAGGTCAAATTATTGTATTTTGTTTGATTTTTGCTGTAATTTGCTATAACTTTGTTATTAACGAATGGAATGTCTTCATACTTGAGCACAACAATCCTTGGGGCAAGACATTAAAAAACATTTTAATGAACATGACTTTGACCTTAATATGACCTTGACACTAAAGGTCAATTTAGTGATATTTTTTCAAATGGCAATAAATTTGTAATTTATTTATGGATTTGACTAGGACAAAAGAGCACTTATTATCAAACTAACATGTTTAGTAGTTCAAATATGACCTTGACCATTATATGGCCTTGACAATCAAGGTCATGTATTCAATTTAGCACAGAGTTCCTTGACTTATTTATTTATGAACTTGATTTATAACTTGTCAAAAAGAGACCCTTCTGTTAAAACCCGTATGTACATTTATTCAAATATAACCTTGATGTTTATTTGGCTGTCGAGGACAAATTATTGAAATTTGCTTAGTTTTGTTATTTATTTACGGATTTTACTTTTACTTGGACAAAAGAACACATATGACAAAACTGACAGGTTGCAGGATTATAAATTATTGAAATTTGTTTAAATAGTCATAAGTTTGTTATTTATTTACAGATTTAAATTTATATTTGGACAAAAGAACACATACGGCTGAATGGAGTGGAATAATGTCGAATTATTCTGATGACTTTGACCTTTAATTGACTTATCGACAAGGCCAAGCTATTGAAATTTGCTTCAATTGTCAATACTTTGTTATTTAATTATAGATATGTCTTTCTTGTACAAAAGAACATTTATGACAAAACTGACATGATGATTAAGTTTTATTCAGATGTTATCTTGACCTTTGAATGACCTTAACAGTCAATGTCAATTTTGTGTAAAATAATGTTTTAGCAGTATTCTTTTTTTCAATATTCTTTATCCGATGACATGTTTGACTTCAGAAATAAGAAAAAAGTTGAGCGTGGCACTTGCTTTGCAGTAGTTCTTGAGTCTTGTCTGACATTTTTGCAGCTGTTATTCTGGCAATATATCTTAATTTGACAGTTGGAAATTAAAATTACAAGTATTGTGTTATTATGGCATTCTAGTTCAAATAATTGTACTATGTGTACAATTAAACAGTTAAAAGTGTAAAGAATAGAATTTTCCAACTGTCATTTTAAGTGTTTGACTTAGATTCTTTATCTTTTGATGCCCAATTATAAGTGTTGTATTGGATTCATGTTTATATATAGTTGGGAAAAGGAAGCCAATATTGAGATATCTCGAGCTGGCGCTGGTGTGGTTTTATTACCTGGACCTGTGTCCCTCATTCCAGACAGTTCCGAGCTTAATTATTTCACAAATTGTGGGGGAGCAGGTATGATAGCCCCCTGTGGGAAATGTATTGTGTTAGCATGCAGGATTTAAACCCCCTCTTCTTATGTTAAATGTACTCTGCATGTAGGCTAAATGTATTATTTCACATTTACTTACATTGTTGTTGTTATATATGTAAACACTTACTATGCTTCATGTTGTTCTATTTTATTTTCTGATGTTTATAACCTTCTCATTATTTCAGTGTGAGACTATAATATTACTTCTTCTTTATTATATATATACACATATAGTTACAATTCTTTCCTATTGAGTTGACAAAGTCTTGTATGCATGTAAATCAATGTAGTTTTTAGACTTTAACCAGAAGTTTAATAGTTTTTAGTCTCTTATTGTATCATATAACATGTCTTTTCCGATTTGTAGATTTGTATAATCATTTTAGACTTTGTAAATATTTGAATGAGTTTATAAAACTTTACCAAACCTAGATTGGGAGCAGCATTTCTTGTCTTCAGTGAGAAAAGATCCATGTTCTTGACCAGTTTACGTCTGAAATGATTGATTGTAAAATAATACAATTTTTAACTTGTATTGTGTAATTGCATTATGGTCTTAGAAATAAAATGTTTAGTTAGCTGGGGCATTGTTTGTACATTTTACTGATGTGAAATTTAATTCAAGATATAATTAATCAATATTTTGCATTTGGATAACTTTAAAACTTTTATGATTGACATTTTTACTGATTTTCACAATTTAGTAAGAATAAGTGTGGCAACATGACTTAGTGGTTAATGCGTCAGATTAGTAATCTACAGATTTCTGGCTCCGTGAGTTCAAACCCCAGGGGGGGTAAACTGTTCTTTCCCTGAGCAAGAAACTTTACACTCATTGCTTAGTACAGGTTGGTTCTAGGAACGGATTCAATGTGTTTATAAGCTTAAAGCTCCCTATACTATCAAACTAAAATAACTTGAATTTGCCATAACTCTGTTATCAGTGGATGGATATGATCTGCACATGGACAAAACAACACTTATGACAAAACAAACATGTTGAATAAGTAATGATGTCCTTGACTAATCAATGATCTTGACCATCAAGGTCAAATTATTGAATTTTCGTATAATTGCTCATTATATTGTTATTAATGGATAGATAGGGCAAAAACACTTATGACACACACTGTCTTGTTGAATTTTTTGCTTTTTGCCTTTACCTTAAATGACCTTGACTTTCAAGGTCAGATATGAAATTTTATATTTCATTTAATTCTGGACAAACAAATTATGTTTACCACAATGTTATTCCTGTGATGACATTGTTTTTGCTTTTGGAAAAAGGTTTAAGGCAACAATCATTTGTTTTTAAATTTTTGTTGTTGTGAAGTTTGCATGTTGTTGTTTTTTTGTTTTTTTTGTTCACTTTGAAAACATGTTGGATGTTTTTTTGTTGTTTACTTTGAAACCATGTATCACTAAGGCAGGTAAAACTATCTAATATACTTACTGTAATGTTATAATGAAGTAAAAATAAAGGAGCATTTTACATACATTCCAAGCAAAATCTTACTCGGATATTGTTTAAAAATTTGAAATGTATGGAGACATTTCTGAAAGTGACATTCATAGGTAGAATGTGTTCAAGAAGTACTAGTGTATTTGTTGCTATGTTTGAAGTATTTGTTACCAAGCTTGGTCTAACTTGAGAACAATTATGTTTGCAAATGTTGGGTAATTTTTTAGCTTTCAGATGTTTGGTGAATTTTTAGCTTTCAGATGTTATGTAAATTTTGAAGTGCAATGTCTTAACTTATTACTAATAACCAAGGGTGATTTTAGACTTTTATGTTGATAAGAGTTTAACAAATTTGCAAATGAAGTTGGGTTTATTGTGTTGAATTCATTGAAAGCATTGTATAATTACCACTTCTAAATTCAGATTCCTTATATGATATAACATTGTACTGTAGTTTGAAGCTGATAGGTGTTTAAAAGATTTATTGCATTCCTTATAAAATATTATGTTACATTTTAAAATAACTTTCAATTTTCTACTTGATATCTTCAGTCATCTTTGATGGCTTTCAGAGATTTTCAATTTAGTTATGTCAGTTATTCACAAATTATAATAAATATTTATTGTGATGTATCTAATATCTTACCCTATAACTTTAATATATAGTTAGTCTAGAATTATAATAACTTACTGATAGGTGATGTGTATATGTCATATAGGTAAATGTTCATCAAGATATTTAATCATATATTTTATTTAATCTATTACAGCTGGAAAACTTTGACCGGAATGAATGGAACACGTGCTGGGGCGGGGCTTGCTGCCTGTCCAATGACCATGGCAACCTTCTTCAATGTCATCAACAATCCATATACTGGACCACTTTAAATTATTCCAAAACTACTTATTTACAATACAGGCAGTTAAACATTCATCAAGCCATCATTTAAGCTGTTCTTCTTCATGTTCACCAGGATTGATAATTACATCTAAATGACAGTCTGTGTTCAGGGACTTGGAAAAGGAGGAAATTCTGCCAGACATCTTCTTTTTTCAAGCCGCTTCAAATAGCCAAAATCTTATCAAATTATCATAGATATTAGACCATGATTATATTTATCACAAAACTCTACAGTTGAGTTGGGGCAACACATCAAGTGATTTGACTTTTAAAACTGTAAGACTCGCAAAAAGTTAATTTCATAAATTTTTGAATTCATGCTAATTAATAGAAGATATGTTACATACCGGTAATATAATTGATAATTGGAATTTCCTATGTAAAGCAAATGTAATTCTACAGTTACTCTGACGATAAAAGATTGATTATTGGAAAAAAATGAAGAAAAATTAAAGTAATGTTTTGATCTTGATATACATGTACTAACATATAGCTTAACTTAGCATGACATACACATATATGTAAAATTCTTTTGATCATGTGTATGTCATTACACTGACACATATATACATGTAATTTTTTAAAGAAATGCTTATCTATATTTATTTATATAATGAAAAATATTTGGAAAAAAAATCTGATCTATAATGTAATTGATTGCCACATACTATAACATAGCTGTAAATTAGCTGTATGTATAAGTGCTTTATTGTGCCATCTTTTGTTATTGTCATGTTTATATTGTGTATCTTGAAGATTCATAATGTGATATATAATTTGTTATTTCAGTTAGTGCTTTGTAAATTGTAGATAAATATATAATGAGCTTTGAGCAAGATGGTAGCTGCTTCTGTGAAGCATGTTAAAATAAATGTTTTGCAGTTAGCTCTCAATACTAGTATATATAAGATTTTTTTTCATTCTTCGGCTAGAAGTGCTTGTCAGATTGGGCAAAAGGTTTTTAAATGGGTTTTTAACTTTTTTAGAGCTCAGATTTAAAATGTGATAATTATTTTACAAACTTGCTCTATTTTGCATGAAATCCAGTAAATAGTTAGTTTTAAAATTTAGATTATTGGTTTATTTAATTGATATGGGCGAAACATGAATTTAAAGTGGAATATAACATTCCAGAATTTTACCTTGATGATGATGATCCAAGGAGCTTATCAGTTGTGACACAATCTAAGAAAACTTTGCTGTTAAATTAACTGAGCTTAATATTGGCATTCAATTTTTAGAACAAAAATCGAAGGAAAAAATAAAATTGAATGTAAAAATTAATTATTGTTATAGGATCTAAAATTTATTGTCATTTGATATACAATTTTATGAAACATACTCAGGAGAACTTTTGTCAAGCTTAATAATATTTTTCCTCAGACAAGTTTCATACAATATGAATAAAAAGGTTGGAGGGGGAACAGTACATCAAAAACAACACCCTGGTTTATATTTTAACTACCAGTAGCGGTTAAGATATACAAGTAACCTTCATCAGGTTATCAAAAAGTTTATACTAAATCTCAAGAATGTCAAGGTCCTTTTATCAGAAGACTTTATTCTAATCATTTTTTTTTTCATTATAAACATTGATTTACCATAGAACAAATGGGACAATTATATTATATGAACAAGTATGTAATATAAAGATATTTGTTATAGATATATTTCTTAGAAAACAAGGGAAGTCACGTGATTAAACAAAATATCACTGAAAAAACAGTTTATGTGTCAAACTAAAAAATTACTCGAACTAAAAAATCACAGTGAAGGGTCCCCATATTACCTTTCCTCAAAATTCATACCAGCTTTAAATCTGTCAGCCATAGTGCTACTTAACTGTTAAAGCCTATGTCACATTTTTGCAAGCAAGTGCTACACAATTTTACTAATTGAATATGTCATGTTGATTAGTGTCAGCACCATTTTACAGTGCAAATTATTTATATTTATATATATTTTATATTGTAATGTTTAGTAGATCACTTTATTTATTGATTATAGTAGTACAATATAGGGTAGTATACAATATTAATGTAGTAAACAAAACACTAGAGTTATTAATGTGTAATGTCTTGTGTACAGTGTATGTGTCCTTTAATTTTCTGTTTAGTTAATACAGCCGTTTTAGAAATATAAATTTTTAAATTAACATATTATGTAAAAAAAACTTGTTAACTTAGCAGCATCTTATGTTTGACCTCTATTGGTTTACAGTACATACATGCTGAAAAAGTAATATGAAATCAATCACTTTGATGCTTAATATCTTGATTTTATATACATGGATATTCCATGGAACTTAAGAAAAAAAGAGATATTATCATGGTTTGAAATGAAATTGGTTACTCTTATGAATATCAAGCATTCATCAATATAGTCTAGTTGTACAGCATTTGTCTGTCTGTTAACTTGGAGACTAAGGAAGTCGACTACACTGCCTGGAATAATAAACCTAGATTTTAATCAGTGGTTTCTTTCAGGGTAATTTTCAATTTTTTGACAAATAGCATTTGATTTTAAATATTGTATGAATTTTTGCTCATCGTTTACAGTGAACAGGTTAAATATTTCAGGATTACTAACACAGTTCTGTCTCAAAACTGGAGCTCAATTGTTTTGCTAACTACTGTTTGTTAATTGTGTATGTTTAATCATGTTGATTATATTTTTATATTGTATATTGTATCAAAGGTCACATGTTGTTGTACTATTTTTTAACTGTATTCACATCCATGATTTAGAGAAGAAAGGGAAGTTTTTGTTAAGACTTTGCAGTTTACACAGTGATGAAAGTGTTGTTTACAAAATTTCTATACTAGTATTTAGTCCGCAATATTGACCCAAGACTGATTCTTCATTACTGTAGATCTGGTTGTATTCCAGTTACATTTACTTTTGCTTATATCCGCAAAAAACATTTACATTGTGAATTCATAGTTAACAAATATGTATGGCACTACTTTGCAAGTATCAAAATATTGTTATGTCATTAATTCTTCTCTTTACAAGGATTAGCTCTGTTATTTTACTATGAAATAGTTTTATTTCAATAGCTAAAATAAGTTGTTTTTCATTTGTAACTAAAATACAAACTGATTAAATCAAAAACAAGCATAAATTATTACAAGTGATTTTAAAAAATATAAACCAGTATTAATAAGGTCCATCTCTTCTAACAAATTTGCGACATATAGTACAACGATGTTATTTTAAAGACAACTATTGTAAATTTTTGGTTTATTGATCTAGGAAAAATAGCATAAGAAGTTAATTTGTTTAAGGGGAAAATTAAAATTAACTCTTAGTCATCATATATGGCTAGCAACAGGTCATATACATTATACAAATATTCTAAGAATGTTCTAATACCTGTTGATTTTAACCAAGCTCTTTTATAATTACAAGTGATTTGCTGCCATTAGTCATGGACTACATTTTTTTCAAACTTTTCAAGTTTACACCACCAACCTCCAATATTGAGGTCCCCTTGTTCTAAGTAATACATAACTGTTTCGACAAACCTTAAAATTTACGTGTTCTACTTCTGAAACCGACTATGCTTGAGTTAGGGTCACAGAATATTCAAATGTCTCGGGGTCAATATTACAAGCATTAGCTTCTCATTTATCAAAGAGATTTGCAATAATTGCCAAGTAATTGCCGCATGTCCTTTTAAACACTACTATTTATATTATATTATAATTTATATATCAAATCTATATTTATACTATTTTTTCTTTTTGCTATTTCTTGCAAAAAGCTAAACTTTATTTTCTTGTTATATATTGTTTTATAAAATTTCTTGGGGTACAATTGTTTATAAATAAATGGCTAATTGGTGAATTATCTTCTTTGTGTGTTTTGTAGTCCTTTGTTTTTTTTTGAATCCGAGGCAATTTGTTTCATTACATTACTGTTTCCTAACATGATCATGATCCAGCCACTTCCCTGATCACATGGCAATGAGTTTAAACTGAAACAAGACTGGTATAGCAATAAATAAATACATGTAATCAGTTTAAATAATGTTAGTCACTGATACCAACTATGGCCTATATCCTTAAAACTCATGATTCAACAATATTACTATTGGTATTATTTGACTATCAACTCAAGATTGGTGACAAATGATAGCAAAAACACCTCCAAACATCTCTTTCCTCACTCCTTAGAGGCAAAAATCATCTTTATCTGAAATAGGGATAGGTTATTAACAGACAGGCCTTTGTTTTATTCTACATAGAAAATTTGAATAGCTATTAAATTTCAAAAGTAGACAACAATATTGTCATGTTGTTTAATGACTTATTTAAAGTCATAACAGGAACTTTGTGTTAATAGGTTATATTGTAGACCATATATACTGTCTATAAAGCATTTAGCGGTTGCTGGACAATGCATCTTCAGATGTTTTATCAGGTAGATATCAATCAGTAGATGTGGTCTTTGGCAATAGTCCCCTTATGAATATTCTTTTTTTTTCTTTTCCTTGGGTTCAATGGATTCAATACTGCAACTTCTTAAGTCATCTTCTTGTTATGTACCTTTGGAAAATTGTGTATTTACATTAATTTAATTTTGAATGTAAACTTGTTACACCTAAAAAATAATTATGCTACATGTATATAATTTCAATAGTGTATTCTTTCATGATGCAAGAAAAGTTAATATTAATGTTTCTCTTATTAGACTCTTACACAAGCACATAATTTATTATATGTACTGACAGTGTTACGGAGCAGGAGTAGTGCTTTGTTTTTGTATCGACCCAAATGTGAATTATAGCTTTTAATTGTTCAGGGTATTTCTCATTTTTTACAACTATGGTTCTTTGGAATAAAACAAGCAATGGAATAAAACAATGGATTCTCTATTGCAAATTTGTTTGAGTAAACAAATCTTATCTCAAAATTAGGGAAGAGACCAAATCATGAAACTTCTCTATAAAATGTTTTATATTAATTAGCCTTATGATACCAAACGACCCCCAGGGTGAGGGGATCTTTGGCCCTAGGTGCATGATACTTTTGTAGATGTCTGTAAATGAATAAATGCAAAATGTATGTAAGCTCTAAGCATTGTAGTTTTCCATAAAAAGAGATGTGTTTTCCTATTTATAAGCTTACATAAAGCAAGTGACACCCTGGCCAATTTTGACACATAGGGCAAGATTAACTTTTGAGGTGACGAAACATGCCATATATCTAAGCTCTTGGCATTGTAGTTTAGGAATACTCGATAGATAGAGATATGCCTATTATATAAAACAATGTAACACCCTTTATGAACTTTTTGTAGAGGTTGACTAAGCAATGCTCCATACCTGATAACAAAGCTAAAGGCATTGTAGTTTCACATAATAAAACTTAAATGTGCCTATATAAGTCTACATCAACTACCGTATGTGACCTCAGGGCAATGCCAATGTTAATCCGGCAGGCATGATTGATATCTCTTTTGTAGAGGTCCACACAGCAATGCTACATGCGAAATATGTATACACTTTGGGCATTGTAGTTCACTTAGATATTTATTCCTAGTATAAAGCTCTATATATCAACCAAGAAGCCTCTTGGGCAGAGCCAATTTTGATCTGAAGAAGCAAGTTTTAATTTCCTTCTTTCTGTTCAAAAGATACAGAGCGGACTTAATGTGACCTTGACTCTAAGAAGGTCAATGCACATTATCTCATTATGGTAACATATCTGCCAAGTAGTTTTAATTTCCTACCATTAGTTAAATGTAAATAAAAAAAATTAACAGAAGGACAGACAGCCTGGTGCATAGCTTTATAGACTAAAAATATTTTGAACATGTGTTTAGAAATATATAAGAACTATAATCCATATAATTTTATCAATTTCTGTTTATTATGCTTATATACAAAATAAGATGACAAAAATGAAATGAAATCCAATATGTTTTTATCACATGTATCAAGATCCTGGAAACAATTTTAACAGTTCTTTAGCAAAAGGATGAAGAGGAAATCCCATGACATTAAAGTAGTCTCCCTTTATTCCACTGATCAATGTACTTCCTAATGCTTGTATCCCATAACCTCCAGCTTTATCCCTGAAAAACAGGAAACTCATAAAAATCATGTGACATTGATATAGTGAAAACCTGCAAAAACAGTAATCTGGTATGCTCTCAGTAAATCAGGATACCAGTAATCTGGTATGCACAGTAAATCAAATTGCCAGTAATTTGGTATGCTCAGTAAATCAGAAAAATCAGTAATTTGGTATGCTCAGTAAATCAGAATACATGTACAATATTTGGTACGCTCAGTAAATCAGAATACCTGTAATTTGGTAAACTCAGAAAATCGGTATACTACTACTAGTAGCTTGGTATGCTCAGTAAATCAGAATACCCGTAATTTGGTATGCTCAGTAAATCAGAATATCAGTAATTAGGTATGCTCAGTAAATCAGAATACATGTACAATATTTGGTACGCTCAGTAAATCAGAATACCTGTAATTTGGTATGCTCTCAGTAAACAGAATACCTGTAATTTGGTATGCTCAGTAAATCAGAATATCAGTAATTTGGTATGCTCTGTAAATCAGAATACCATAATTTGGTATGTTCAGTAAATCAGAATACATGTAATTTGGTATGCTCTCAGTAAATCAGAATACCTGTAATTGGGTATGCTCAGTAAATCAGAATATCAGTAATTTGGTATGCTCAGTAAATCAGAATACATGTACAATAATTTGGTATGCTCAGTAAATCAGAATACCTGTAATTTGGTATGCTAAGTAAATCAGAATATCAGTAATTTGGTATGCTCAGTAAATCAGAATACCATAATTTGGTACGCTCAGTAAATCAGAATACATGTAATTTGGTATGCTCTCAGTAAATCAGAATACCTGTAATTTGGTATGCTCAGTAAATAAGAATATCAGTAATTTGGTATGCTCAGTAAATCACAATACCAGTTATTTGGTATGCCCAGTAAATAAGAATATCAGTAATTTGGTATGCTCAGTAAATCAGAATACCATAATTTGGTACGTTCAGTAAATCAGAATACATGTAATTTGGTATGCTCTCAGTAAATCAGAATACCTGTAATTGGGTATGCTCAGTAAATTAGAATATCAGTAATTTGGTATGCTCAGTAAATCAGAATACCAGTTATTTGGTATGCCCAGTAAATAAGAATACCAGTAATTTGGTATGCACAGTAAATCAGAATACATTAACTTAGTCTTTCGATTTCTCTCTCAGTACTATATGGTTGTAAATCCTAATTTATATAACTTCACACATTTCTGACAGATTCAATTAAGCTTGAATAACTTACATAGGTTCTCCCGTATCCACATATGCCTGTATGATTTGAGGTGTAAGATCTCCCATCATTACTTCTGTACAGGTATGAAACTGTGTCAGGTTATACTTTGAAGAAGTTGAATCTGAAATATAGGGCCTAATGATGACTTTATGTTGATTATTTTATTAAGATATAAAATACTTTAATTTGATATTACAAAATATAGATAATTGCTACACAGTCCCTTCGTATATATAAAATAAACATGTTTTGATGGTCACAATATGAATATATAGTGTCATTAAATGAAAAGTGGTTTAACTTTATCTTTTACAATATAAAGATATACAAAATTTTCAAATAATCAAAAATATGAAAAACATTATGTTCAAAATTTCAAAAAATACTCTGTGACACTACATTTCAAGAAAATAAATTTACCTGTCTTTGGAGTGACTAACACAACTGAGGTGAATACATTATGACTGTTACCACTTAACCTGAAATCACATACATTCCTGTATATTATATATTGAAGAAATAAAATAAGAGCCAATTATGTACTGAAATCACTGAATAAATTTACTGTAATAACACAAATTCTCTACAATTATTACAGGCAATCAGGTATGACAACTCAATTTTCTATGATCTGTGTACTGGCATAATTAACATGGACATCCAATTATGTTCCCAAATATGTGTGTGCAGTTTCAACCCATTCCCTACAGTAGTTTTAGAGAAACCAACTTGTACGCAAAAACTTAACCAAACCGTGACACTGACATCTGGGTGAGTACAACAGCTCTCAGTATAACTCCAGCTAAAAATCTGCATGACTAATAAGTCAACAATAATACACATTATGAATTAAATATTAAATGTTTATGTCTATTTAACTTAATATAATATACATCTACATTTATCTACTTGATATTAAACAGTTTTCAACAGTTCATAAAAACAATATATATAAAATAAGCATTTTTTTCATTAAGTTTAGTTTAATAACTCATTCAAGCTAGTCATGTCTTCTGTCTCACTAAAGTTAATAAAATTTTAGACAATGTCTATAATTTACTTGCATATCACTGTATAACAAGACAATTTTTATGTAAGCTTATATCAAATGCCATAAATACAAAAGAATTTTCGGTGACATCAAAAAGAAGTCACCGCCTAGCAGGAACCACACTCAACTTTTCCTTACTTCCAAAGACAAACACATTTGAGGAAAAAATATTTTAATAATTCAACATGTTGGTTTTCATATGCATGTATGTGTTCTTATGTTTAAGTATTTATACACCTGTTAATAAATAACATGACAATTTAATTATTTATACACATCAGAGAATCAGTTGTATCACTAATGCACACTCAAGAGATACACTTTTTTCCTACCTAATATACATCCATGTACTGTTACAGACTATAAACACACCTACCTGGACAATATATCTATAGCATGGTCCCTACTGGATGGTTTCTCAAATATCTCATTGTTATAGGTCACTATAGTATCTGCTCCAATTATCAGATCAGGTGGTGCAACCTAAAAATAGAAATGTTAAGTTGACATCACGATTCTTGGAGTATCATTTCATACACAGTGACAATCAAAAATTATAAAAAAAACATCTATGGATGCCTAAAATTTGTAAAAATTTATACAGTTAAAACAAAATGTAATTAAAAATGATATAAAAAATGATGTAATACCCACTAAATTTATTTTATCCATCTCATTCTAAGCACATGTATTCATTAACATATCTTAAGTCTACATAATAATTTCTTTTTCTTTCTTTCACTTAGTAACTTTTAAAAAACAAACATAATATATAACAGATTAATTTCACTCCTGATATATTTAAAACATAATAATATATAGTTAATGTGTAATTTAGTTATAGTTAATATTACCTGACCACTGTACAACCTTTCTGTGACTTCTAATGTCTTCTGTTTTGCCGTCTCTGCCACATAATCTAATGGTGTTTTAAAGCTGTCTTTCCTTAAATTTTCCTCAAAATTTGATGGGATTATGTCAAACTTCAAACCCTGTAAATTTTGTGCAGAATCTATGTGTCAATAAAAATAACATATTGCATGAAAAATGTGGTCCGATTACTGAAACCCAAGCAGTAAGAAATATTAAAGTTAGATATTGAGTATGATCCCATTACATAATTATTCAGAATATTATCAAGGACTTTACTTGCTGGTACTGGCAAATAGGGCAACAACATGGAATGGATTTGATACCTGTCAGTGGAGTTCAAGTGATAATAGTCGATTCTGGAAACATTGATTGTGGTGATTTGTAAACGTAAGTGAAATAAAAATGAGTTAGTGTTGTATCAGCTGTTTAAGTTTTTGTTTGTACTTTTTCAAGTATGCTTACTTCATTATTTGTAACAAAATAAACTGGGCATGTGCAAGAAAGTGTTCTGATACCTCAGAGTTCATCAAGGTGTTCTGGTATGAGAATTTAGAAAACAGCCATCTTCAAAAGGGATCTTTATTCATATTCCAGTCACTGACAAACAATTTTGAGAACTTGCAACACAACAGTGACTTGATCCATATGTCAATAAAAAATGATAACAGTAAATGTTTGTTTTGGTATATTTATGAAATAAAATGATCAGAAATTATTCATTGTCACTGTCAGACTGTTGGGTTTCAATATTACATGTATAACTGGTAACAGTTCACCTCAGTTTAGTAAATGCACTACAACTGACTTTCAAACTGGATGCCATTCATGAAATATGCATAAAAGCTTGCAAAGATTTTTATACTTGGTCTACAGAAAACACATTCAAGGAAATTATTCTTGCTTTTAGTTTCATGTAAACTAGTTCTTAAAACAAAAACTTGAAAGTGTAATTTCAAATTGTTCATCATTTCACAGTGTGATCTTTGTCTTTATAAATTTATATGAACATTGTCCTACTTTCACTTATCATTATGACCTACTTATGGTGAGGATAAAGCACGGCTGACGACTTTAAACTGCAAAAATCAAGTGAAGAAACACACTTTTTCATATGATCGCAAAAAACGAGGCTTATATGCCATAACACATTGAATAATACTTTTTGAGAATGATTTAATGTGAGAACATGAAAACTACTTACAATTTGTTGCAGCATAACTTTACGCCTGGGAGAAGTGCTAGCCAGCACTATTTTCTTGCTGTTAAGCGAGTTAAGAATGGGTTGAAGCATTTTAATCACTTAATCGCGTGCGTGTCAGCCACAAAATTGAAAGTAGAACCCTTAGTTAAACGGCGAAGTGTCACCTGTTCCGAATGACAAAATAACAGCTGTTCGTAATAATATTCTCTTGTAAAAACCACTTCTTGAAAGACTCTTTACCACTAAATGTTCTCATTTGTTCTTATATATATATTTGATGAGTTTTTGATGCTTTGTTAAATTGTCTAATTTCATATCAAAATACGTTTTCATATGAATGAAAAATGGAATTGAATTGAGACTGATATTTTTTGGCTTGCAGCCACGGCTGCAAGCCATTTCATATGGAAAACTTGTTCCGGTTAGGTGGTTTCCTGCTTACATCTGTTGGTGCATGATTGAACGGAAAACCAGATGCAATCGTGCCAATCGTAACTTTTCGGCCTTTTCCGTCACTCTTCGGATTAATGATAATAGCCGATGTAGTTCCGATTGCAATCGTGACAATACGGGCGATTCCATCATACTGCGGAATCAGACGAAGTAATATTACGGAAATCTAAGCTATTTTAGTTACTACGGTAATCCCAGTTTGTTTATATAAATAGGATTTCTATTTTTACTCGATTTATCGGTTTAAACCGTAATAAATTATATACGAAATTGTTCCGTTTCAATTGTTTTTCAAGACGCAATAGTTAGTTTCTTTTATAATTGTTTTTTTTGTGTCTGTATTAGTTTACAAATCACGCATGATCGAGTTATATTTAGATCTACTGAATGCAATTCAACTTTTTGGTGAGGTAATCTAAAAATAGCCCATGCATATCATTAACCTTGCCACGTGCTGATATACGTATTTGTGATCGTGTAACATATAGTTCATATGTAGTTGATACAAGCTTATTAATTGGTACCACGTAACGAAGTAATTTAGTGCATTTACTTGTCTATAAATCAAACGAATGATTTCTCTGCGGAAAAGGGGAAATGAAATGTGCACACTTGTTAGTTTTATACAATAGAGAATAGATTTCAAATCGTTTTGACAAAAAATATTCGTTTTTCAAAAAAAAAAAAAAAAAAAAAAAACTAAATTAATAAACCCTTTATGATATACAAATACCGTAATTCAAAAAAATTGTGATAATAAATTGAGAAAAAAAAACACAATTTTAAAGGGTGTGGATGAAGGCACAACACTGTGCAAGCCTTTCCTTTTAAAAGGAAACTTTATTTACACTGGCCTGGGATATACGATATACACACGTATGTCCCAGCACTGGCACGCTGCAGCCACAGGGACCCAGGACAGTACAAACGTAATTCTAGAAAAAAAAACTAGAACTGCCACTATCATGGTGTGAATACCCCCGCATACCACTTTGTCAGAATCAACAGTGGCCATTTAGAGCTCAAGGACAACCTCCCTGCCAAATCTGAGGTTACTAAGCCAGTGCATTGCTAAGTTATGTATTCTACATGCTTCAAATGTGAAAATGTCAAAATCAATACATTGCGGACAGGACATTCTTTAGCAATTGAGAAGAAAAGCTGCTTTTTTTTGTCAAGGTCCCTGTGACCTTGACCTTTGACCCAGTGACCTCAAAATCAATAGGGGTCACCTTATAGTCATGATCAACATCCATGCCAAATATGAAGACTGTGGGTCAAAGGAATCTAAAGTTATTGGGCAGACAAACTTTTTGAAGTCAAAGTCCCTGTGACTTTGACCTGGTGACTTCAAAATCAATAGGGGTCATTTACTAATCATGACTGACCTCCATTCCAAATATGAAGACTGTGGGTCAAAGGAATCTTAAGTTATTGGGCGGACAAGCTTTTTGAAGTCAAGGCCCCTGTGACCTTAACCTTTGACCTGGTGACCTCAAAATCAATAGGGGTCATCTACTAATCATGACTAACCTCCATGCCAAATATGAAGACTGTGGGTCAAAGGAATCTTAAGTTATTGGGCGGACAAGCTATTTGAAGTCAAGGCCCCTGTGACCTTGACCTTTGACCTGGTGACTTCAAAATCAATAGGGGTCATTTACTAATCATGACTAACCTCCATTCCAAATATGAAGACTGTGGGTCAAAGGAATCTTAAGTTATTGGGCGGACAAGCTTTTTGAAGTCAAGGCCCCTGTGACCTTTGACCTAGTGACCTCAAAATCAATAGGGGTCATCTACTAATCATGACTAACCTCCATGCCAAATATGAAGACTAAGGGTCAAAGGAATCTTAAGTTATTGGGCGGACAAGAAAAAACCGACGGACAAGCTGATTCCAGTATACCCCCCTTACATCTTTGTTGTGCGGGGGTATAAAAAACAATATACTGTCTATAATATTATATATACAGTATATATTATTTTCTAGAATTACTTTTTTACACTATCCCATCACTGTGCTTGGTCCCTGTGGCCGCAGCAAGTCTCACTTGCATGAAAATGTTATTGTGCAACTTCATATTATATTTTTCTGGTCCATTGATTTATGTGTTGAGAAAAGAGTACTGCTCAAACCGGTCACAGGGGGCGTGAGGGATGTTGCACTTTTTGATTATCCCTCATGTACATACTCAATCAAACTGAGTCTGCATGTTATTTCACTGTTTTTAATGCTTACGGTCCAGATATTTCACAGCTTCCTCTACATGACATTACAAAGCCTAATAATATAGCTTTTTGAAATCCTTAATCAAATTCTCCCCCTTTTACACCCCCCCCCCCCTCTTAAAAAAAACAACAAAACATTATAACAAGAGCTGTCGGTAGGACAGCACGCTCGACTATTCTAAGTGCTTGATAGTAAAAGAGCCTTGATAATGTTAAATTTTTTAAGTTCACAAAGGGGCTAATTTTTTTTATAAATTCATGTTATAGGCCTTAGAGAGAGTCTAATTATACAGTATTGGCTTGACTATTCGGAAGGTAATGTCACGAGTGTGTTTTATTGAGTATAATAATACTAATTACCTATGAATACATAAATTTGACAGAAAAGGTACAAAGGCTTGTTATTAAGATGTTTTATCAAGTAAATAACTGCTTTATTATTATGAATGCATAAAATTGTCCCAAAAAAGGCACAAACCCTTCAGTAGTTATTGAGATAACAGCTTACAAGCAAAACTTTACCATGAATTTCTAAGTTGAAAAAGGGGAGAAAAATCAGCTTAAATGCAAGATAGAATTATGGATCTTTGTCAGTGGCCTACAATTATGACCCTAAATGCATATGTGAAGTTTTAAATAAATATCTTTAATAGTTATTGAGATATGTAAAACTTGCATGTAAACATTAACCAAGAGACTAAGTAGAAAAGGGGATATGAATCAGCCTTAATGCAAGATAGAGTTATGGAACTTGGTCAGTGACATACAATTATGACCCTCCAATTATGACCCAAAGTGCATGTGTAAAGTTTCAAGTAAATATATTTGAAGACCCTTTAACCTTTAACCAAAATTTCTAAGTTTCAAAGGGGCAAATAATTTTGCAAATATTGCAGGCAGAGTTATGCAATTTTGCAAACTGATGTACATTGTTACTATAAAAAAGTATTTTAAATTTCAATTGAATATCTCAAGCAATAATTGAGATGTTTGACTTTACAAAAAACTTTAACCAAAATTTCTAAGTTAAAAAGGGGAATAATTCTGTCAATATTGTAGGCAGAGTTATCCAACTTGTCAATCTGATGTAGCTTGTTACTATAAATAAGTATTGTAAGTTTCAATTGAATATCTCAAGTAATAATTGAGATATTTGACTTTACAAAAAACTTTAACCAAAATTTCTAAGTTAAAAAGGGGCATAATTCTGTCAATATTGTAGGCAGAGTTATCCAACTTGTCAATCTGATGTAGCTTGTTACTATAAATAAGTATTGTAAGTTTCAATTGAATATCTCAAGTAATAATTGAGATATTTGACTTTACAAAAAACTTTAACCAACGCAGACGCCGACGCGGACGCCGACACCGGGGCGACTACAATAGCTCTCATATTCTTCGAATAGTCGAGCTAAAAACTAGATCTGTTACTGAATGCAATAAATACCCCTTGCCTGAAACAAGATGCACCACCAGCATGGACTACACTTTACTTTACAAAATGCAAAACTGTCTTGGTCTTTCAATTGTCAGGGTGACATTTTAATTACGTAATTTAATTTTGTTTTGTTTAAATAACCAATTACATTAACTGATAACAAAGTTGTAGCAAATTTCTTAAGTTAACAAACAAGAGCTGCCGGTAGGACAGCAAGCTCAACTATTCTTAGTGCGTGATAGTAAAAGAGCTTTGATATTGTAAAAGTTCACCAAAGGGCCAAATTTTTTTCAAATCCACGTTACAGTTACAGTCCTTGGAGAGAGTCCTATAATGCTCTCAAAGAAGTATAAAATTTCAGCTTGTTTCAAAGCCAGATGCCCATGGAATATGAAAATATCTGATGTGGTACGTAAACTTTAACGTAAATTCCAAGTCGAAAAAAGGGTCAAAATTCTTTCAAAATGCTTGATAGTTAGTTAGTTACCTCCTGTCTACAGGTTGGGAGCATGATGGTGAACAAGTGTGCAAAGTTTCAAAGCCATATGTCAATGGACTTTTAAAATATTTGAGGTGGTACACAAACTTTAACGCAAATGGTTATGCCGTCGCTCAGGTGACTAGGAAAACGACTCATTCTTATCAAAAAGTCGAGCTAAAAATCATTAAAATTGTTTTATAATATTCACATTAGGCATTTTGATGATGTTGTCCAACATGTCATTGCCATGCATAAACCATATATTTCGGAGAAATCTGTAATAATAAAAGACCCTTAGTTGGCCATTGCCAAATTTTAGGTATCAGAGACCAACCCATGCATCATTCTTTGAAACATGAAATCTAGACATCATTCCAGCCCTTTTACATGTTCATCTTTCAGTCTGGACAAAAACCATTTTCCAATGGAAAAATTGCAGAATAGTGCAGACCAAGTGTGACAGATGTATCAGCTGATCTTATTCTGCACTCATCGCATGGGCAGAATCTGTTGCCGCCAGCAGGCTTGGTGTTACTATCAAAATTTTCATGGCAAGCACTCGGCAACAAATGCCATTTGTTCAATAACTTGGAAACAGAATCAATTAGTTGCCATTTCAATAATAACACTGAAATTCAGATTTCCTTCTAAGTGTTGAAGGATGGACAGTGGAACATCACACAGACAGTTAGTTATACTCTGGTGATAATTTGACAATCATGTTTTTTCCATGCCTTTAACTGTGAATATATGATGAATCCTTAAATTTCAATAGAAATCTTATAATTTGCTTATGGTAAATAGGGTCACTAATAAAACACAACCAGAATTTATTGAAGCAAACAAAATACTTTATTAATACCAATCATGTACACTCGTATAACAAAACTGATGAAAACTGATGACAATAATAACACTTGATGACAGATGAAAATGTTTTAATGCATGAACCTTTAATAAACAAATCATTGTTTATAATTAACAGTGTGTATAACTAAATCTAAGATGCTAAAAAGTACATTAGTGGGTGAAATGGGAGATATTGTGCTGTTTTACATGATCATTGTATACTTCAAGTCTGGCAACAACTACCGGTATGATAATAATGATGATTGAACAATGAAGGACAAGCATTTTAAAATGATGGGCCTTCTTCAGAAACAATTAACACCAACACATTGTGTTCTTTACCTAACATTATCAATTCAAATGAATGAAGAAATTATTTCAGTTTTTTAGGTCAAATAATTTGGTACTTTCAAGTCTGCCAGAAAAAAATTAATTACTTTACAATGGAACATTTGAGCCGCGTCACGACAAAACCAACATAGTGGGTTTGTGACTCAGGAGCCATGCTGTTCGCTTATCAACTCTATTACAAGTGGAGAAACTGACAGCGAACAGCATGGATCCTGATCAGACTGCACGGATGTGCAGGCTGGTCTGGATCCATGTTGGTCTCAACCTGTGGTGGCAAACGCACTATGTTGGTTTTGTCGTGACACGGCTCATTTCTTTTTGGCCATAAACTTTGAAGCATTCAAGACCTAAAACAGTCACATCATTCAACACACTGAGATCTTAGGAAAATATTTCTTCCATTTCGTTCGATAAATTTCCAACAATTATAATCATCATAAGAAAAACTTTACAATTATTGCATCAGTTTTATAGTTTGATCTTTTTGTAAGCCTAAAAATTCTAATAAATAATAACAACACAAAAACACACCAAACTAAGGACTATATATATTAAGTGATATATTTAATATATTTTGTTATTTTTTTTCTTTAATATGATATAAGGCAGTTTAGTTAAATGACCTGAAAGTAAACTGGATAAAAACTTGTCAACTATAAGTTATACCTCTGACTAGTTTCTAATCAAATGCTATAAAAAGAAATTACAAATGATTTATTACTAGACCATTTCTTTCCCCTTTTTTATGATAACTAGTTATTTTTTCACACAAATACTAAGTGACTGGCACAAGAGTTTCGTTGTGCTATGATTATGGCACAGATTATCATAAAGCATATAGTCTCATCTCTTAATCTATTACAAATTCGATATTTGTTCTAGTTGACAAAATAAGCAAGAAACCATGGATTCTATACGTGTATTTATATATAATACTTATATCAACATAGCATGGCCATTCAATTTACTTTCAGGATTTGTACTATGTAACATAACGCCCCAGATCTTAACGTATCTTAATAAACCAGCAGTCTATATAACCTTTTTAAGAACATAACAATTCATATAAAAACAAAGGATTTCGGCTTTATAATTAACATGATATGGAACAGTTTTGCATCTTTAAAATTTTTAACAATAAACAGTAGCTATGCTATCTTAACTATTCTCGGACTTGATAGATAAATTTATCTAAAACAGATGCTGACATGAAAAACTTCCCAGAATTATTAAGTAAAATGCTACCATATCTATAAAAGAAAAAACAACGATTAAATATGAAAACCTGTTCATTAAAAAAAAAAGAGAAAAATACAAATTCTAAAACATAATTTTTATTTTGTTCAACAGCTCAACAAAAATTAAATTTTTCATAGAATATTTTCAACATATTTGATAGGAAATTTTATTTTTAAACCCTGGGTATGGAATGTGCTTCTATAGGATAAATATGACTGAGCACAGGCTTAAATAACGTACATTAAATGAAAATATTATAATCCTGTATCTTGTGGCATGTAATCAGACTCAATAATAGTTGTCAAAAATTACCAATACATGTATTTACAATGCTGCAGTACTTTTTAAGTTAACTTTACGTATAGATGCCGAGAATGAAGATGAGCTGTTGTGATTGAAAAAAAAAAGAGTTCAAAAACCCAAAAATTCTTGAAGAAAATCCTTACAAAATATATACTCAAACTTAACAAAATATAAATCGGGTATGAAATAAATGGAAATCAAATGCAAAATTCATATCATTTTATTAACTTGAAGAGAAAAAACACATCAATATATCATTGTAAATGTTTGCTACATTCTATATTTTAATAGTTGCTAATCAACTTTATAAAAATTACATTTTGAGAATTATATAGTATAAATGGAATAATTTCTGGCAGTTAATCTATTTGAGAGAATGAGAAAATAACAAAACAAAAATGAAAATGTTTAACAGAGACTTCTTTAGTAACAGTGAAATATGGAATTACTTTGCAGACTCAACAACTTAATAACAAGGAAAGTTATGGCTGAGATTAACAATATGAAAACAAGCAAATAGCACTAGATTCTCTAAGGAAATTCAACCTATCAACAAGTAATATCATAATTTATTTTGTCTTTCCATTTTTGAAGAAAAAAAATCTAAGGAGTCTTTTGTCAAATTATTTGATTATTTTTGTTTTTTGTTGCAACTTTGTGATAAGTGCATTTCATAAACATGAACTTAAATTTTGTTTTGTTGTAGCAACAAACTTACTTGAAACAGATATATGTTCCGTGACCTAAAATATATTTGTACCAGCATTTATAATCTTTCACAGTTCCTTGTAGTTTAGAATAAGTTGTGACAGTATTGGTTGAAATAAGTGTCATTCATTCAACAGACGTTATAAATAATGATTATATGATTCTCCCTGAACTGCTATATAATGCCAAAAATTCATTCAATATAAATTTTCTTTACACAAAACTTTCATGTCAAGATTTTTTCATACCTCTATGCTTAGATGGTCACTTTATATCAAGCAAGAACAAAAATTTAATGGCATCAAGACAACAAATAGAACAAAATAAATAATCTAAAATAGAACTAAATGTCTAACATATCTACAAAGTCTACAAAAACACACCCCAAATAACTGGGGTCAAAAAGCAAAAATCATTCAAGACTAATAAAGTATAGTAATAAAAACACAAACAGTAAATTCAACATAGTAAAATATAAACTTTTTCAACACTTGATTCTTTTTTTTTGTGTTTTTGTTATTATTTTTTGAACCTGTAATCAACAATACAACAGATGTAAATTTAAGGATTCAATCCATATTGCTTCAATACAGTAAGAGCCAATAATTGATATACTCATCAAAGTTAATCAGAAATTAGTTATTGTAAGTAGGATTTTATGTATTTCTTATATTAACCCTTAACCTGCTAAATAATTAAAATGGACTTGACCAGTTTCTGTATTTGGAACTGTCCATTACCAATTATGGGGTATCAAGATGAGAATATTAAGTTAGTGCAGTCTGACCATGCCCTACTCTGGTAGAAAATGCTACTTCCTTTTTTTCGTTTCCAGCAAGGTAGGGTTAAACTACAAAATAAGTTGTTATAAAGTAAAATCTACAACCCAACTTGCTATCTGTATATATGAAAATTTTTATATGACAAGATTGAGACCAAATCTGAAATTTTCACTTTAAATTTGAACGACTCACAATTTCAAACTTGAAAAATTTCATCAGGAATAATATTATTACATTTATTTCCTATCAAATTCCAAGTTGTAATAACATATGTCAGAAAAATGTGTAGAAAGAAGTTTAACTGTCATTTTAACTGTCACTGTAGAAGATAATGTTAAAAAATAGTACAACAGGGCAAGAAATAACTAAAACTTTAAACAGTATAACAAATCTAACTCATTTTTACGGACTAACTAAGCTATATAAACCATGCACAACACCAATAACTGTATAAAAATTCTATTAACAACAAAAAAATAATATCCACACATAAAACAGTAAGACTGCAAATATTATCCCAAAAATGCGAGCAAACGTCAGTTATTTTGTATCAGATGCAAATAAAAGGAACACAGAAAGTAGTTAAACACGTTGGAATGAAGCTGCGAAAGAACAACATATAATATATATGGCAAAACATTAAACATGGATTAAATGAGTATGAAAACAAAACTAGTGGTCTTCTTCGACAAGTATGAACGATAGAAACCTTTATAACCAATAACTACATCATAAATATATATAAATAAATCATATAAAAATCAAAACTCCGTTCTTTTGGCAAAATATCTGTAGTATCCGAAGGCCCCGAAATAAATTGACACAACACAAAAAGCAATTATTTTCAACAGTCAGGCCATGTTTTTGATTGTTTTTCCATAATGTCATATAATAGATAAGGCTAAGATGCATTACAAGAACTTAGTGTATATAATGTGTCTACAACAGACAATATTTTGTTGCAGCAAATGACGATGATAACTTGTGCACTAAAAATTTCATTCAAGAAAATTCCATGGAAAGTATTATGCAGAATTCAACAAACTAGATTTTCTTTTCAGGCACTTTTTGACCATAACCACTAGATACATTCATCATTTTCTTAATGCCATGGCGTGACCATTTGTACAATAACAAATTACCACAAATACCATATATAGTACAAGTATATAATAACCAAACATAACTATAAACAAGTCTTTCGTTTCAATAACTTTCAAAATGTTAACACATGCCCTCTCCCAGACAGAAGTCTGGTACATTTTAACAATGCTTCTCCTTTCAAAGCTGCATGTTTGGTACAAAATACAATTTAGTTTTTAATCCCTTTTTATCGTCTCAAAAAGTTTAACAAATAATTCAAAAGAAACATAAGCTATGTTTTTACAGCTCTTTCCTTAAAGTGACATTATGCCAATTTAAATGTAAATGGTGACTGTACTGAAAAAGGACATACTGAAATTTTCTCATGATTGATTTGGTTATACATAAACAATAACTCTGTGACACACAGGAATGTCTATAAAATAACCTTTGTAAGTTATCAGTAACATTCATTTGATACAAAAGAGTGGGGCAGTCTTTTTACATTTAAAAAGCATTTTTTAAAAATTTTATCCTAATTATCAATAATTGGTCAATCCTAATTACAATAGTCAATCTTTTTAAATACATAGCTTATTCAGCTCTAAGCTGACAACAAAAATGAGCATAATGTCACTTTAAACACAATTTCCATGCAAGTCTAAAAATTAATTTTATCAAAAAAAGTTCAATTTTCTGTCATGACCATGATCATACAGCTTTGAGAAGACAAGCCAACTATAACATCTCAACAAGACATATACTAGATCAACATTATGCACCAAAATGTTTAAATCATTAACAATTTTAGAGAAAAGCTCTTCTTTTTTTTTCTTGCCTTCATGGAAGTGTATATAGACAGATCACTTTTTAATAATACATCTAACCACGGTCATATAAATTCCAAGTTTTTCCTAGGTTTTGACTTATTTGTTCAGCCCTTTTTAAGGTCATAGCAGTAACCATGGTGACTTAAATCAGTATACTGATAAATTTATCATTCTTATATAGTTTTACCTCATCATTTTATGAAAATGATTCTCTAATATTAAACATCTTTAAATTAACAAAGAAAATCAAGTTTAAAAACAGTGATGATCTATTTTACTGATTTTTTCTTTATCAATACCATTTATTAACTTTGTCTTTGGCTAAAAATTATGCAGATAAGTAATAAATTCTAAATGTTTTTACTGCTGTCGAAGGCATGTCTTTTTTTGTATATATTTTCTTTCAAAAAATGCAACCACACAAGATACAACTGCTTGAAGTTGAACATTGAGCAAAACAACTTACATGTTTTATTTGGTCCACAAGTAGGCAAAAGTTCAGTGAATCAATGAAAACTGATTCAAAAACTGAAGTTTTATTGAAGAAAAAAAATTCTAATACTATCAAATAACATGTATTAATGCATTTCTTTTAGAAAATAAAAAACAACCTCTCAAAAACACTTTTCTAAACTCTTATACCATAAACAAACCATAGCACTGTATCCCTCAAAAGGATAATCACAACAAAGAACACTTAATATTTATCTTAACATGTTCACCAAAGGTATTCCACACTTGCATATTTGAATTGTACCATGTTTCAAGGCAATTATTTGAAGTTATAAAAAAAAATCACATACAAAGCATTTAACAAGCATTTTAATGCAAATATGCAAATCTGGTCAAAATGTTGATTTATGGCAGACTTTTTTTTCTTCTTTTTTATATAAAAATGCAGATGTATAACAGTAAAAAATAACCCTAATTTGACTTTGCAAAACTAAACTTGAACAGTTGGCTGTAAAAAAAGCCCAAAAAGCACCCTACCAATGATTGTTTGCAGTTACTAAGGTAAATGAATGGTTTCTATGGAAAATGAGACTAATGATTTTGATTGAGTATTCATGTTCCTCAAACATATAACATTTGATAAAAAAAATTCAACAATGGAAGAAAAGTTACAGTAGTACTTACCACGACAAAAAATAAATCAAGCAGTCACCCCAGTTGGTTCAACTTGGGATACTTCACATATTTGATTTCATTAAAACTAGCAATTTGGAAATACCACCCTTGAATTACGCCTTGATACAATCTATTGATTTAATAGCATGTTAAATGTATGTATCAGTGTGGGATAGCAATACTTCACCAATATCTTATACAAAATACAAACACAACAACAATATAATCAAGGAAGACACATGAGGCAACATTTACACTACAATACAACAAGGCTGTCCATATTCTTTATATTTGCTTTGTGAAAAAAATGCAGCTTTTTTTTATATAACAAATATGCATATATCAGAAATAAAAATTTAACAGGCTATATCTTAATTTTTTTTTTTTTTTTTTTTGTATTTATATTATTATTTTTAACAAATCGGAACACATATTCAGCTGTAAGCCTTATTGTACTCCGTCACAATAGGGGACACAACCTTGTAAGTTTTGAACACAAACATAATAATGCTTAAATCTGAGTAATATCCCTTGCCTCAGACAAAGCAATTCTAACCCACATTCAAACCAAAAACAATTTTAACACCATAACTTGGTAAAAATTTGATTAAAAAAAGATTTGTACTAATTTCAGTTTCTGAAATATAATTTAAATAAAAATGCATATATACTACAGCAAAATATAGGATATATTAATCTACAAATTTTAAACCACATATGAATACAATATATCAAACAACTATCCAAAATTTTGCACAATCTAAGTATCTAATCAGGAAATGTACAAAAATATTCATATTATGGTCATTATATATAATAATATATATATCTCAGTTCAAAAAACCCAAACAATAAGCATGAGAATGACAGCAATGGACAACAACAGAAGTGAGCAAGATAACTTGACATCTCTCAACTTAAAATTACTACAACAGCTTCACACATTATTTCACGTCAACCAATAGCATTTTGATCTGGATTCTCCTTGCATTTTCTTTTTACAATCTAACCTTAGGTATGTTAAAAATTTCTTACAATGAACTGCTCTTGTGTCAGGAAAAAATGAATGCTCAAGGCAAACATTTTAAATATAATCACCAATTCTCTAATCTATTAATACTGATAAATGCAGATTTTTTTGTAACACTGTGTAGCTAATGTAGTAATTATCAGTTAAACAAGGTGTTTTGACCGTCCTAAGAGGTCCAACATGCAATGGACCTCTTGGCAGTCTTCGAGCAAAAATGGCAACAAAATATATTAAATGCACTTTACAAAAGTTTGTATTTCCCCCATTGAAATATTTCTTTTAAAAAATAAATCAACAAAATAAAGATCAAGCTAAATGATCAGTGTACAAGGAACCCTCAACCCCAGTTTATACTACTTCTATCTCATTTTATCTAAATAAGAATGTTCTCAAAAATAGTTTGCTACTAACAAATATGGCATATAAAAATTCAATGATTTCTTGTTTTACTATAAAAAAATGACATCGAAAACAGTCCAGATACTGTCCTGAAAACAATTAGGCAAGGTTAAGATTGAAAATACAACAAACAAAACAAATAAAATAAAAAATCTTTGCTCATAAATTGCACTCTTCATGTTTCTATGCGAAAAATGATTTAACAACTTCATCAGTATATAAAAGTAAAGATAGTTGAAACGTATGAAGATACTGAATTCAAAAATAAATTTTTTGTTTCAAATTTAATTAATTTGCTGCATTTGAAAGCTAGGAAGTAAAATTAATTCATCAAATGACATGAACAGTTACTTGGCAACAGAGGTCACATGAACACGAACACTGGATCGAGACCGTATACACTCAAAACTGGCAGTTTTCAACAAACAAACAAACATCTTTCATTTCTCAAATACACAACTTGCACTTACAATCTTACGTATTGGGATCAAATCTCACATCACTATACATGGGGACTTTAGAACCTTCTTTGACATCTTTTAAAATGTCATGCTTAGCAAAACATTTGTCCAGTCAAACAAAATGAAAATGGTAACAGTTCTCTATAATTAGCACCAAAGTGCAGTTATGATAATTCCCTGATTTATTTATAAAAAAGTTTAACAAGGATGAGTGAAAGGATGACTGATGAATGATGATTCAATCACTCACTATATAAATTCAAAATGAATTAGTAATAAACACCCTAATGTCAATCAATCAAATCTAGCCCTAAAGTCAATGCAGAATTCAACTTTTAAAGTTGTCTACCACAAGTGTTTATATAAATACAAATATACCATATAAGTATCATGTAACCTTTTCCTTCACGCATATTTCAAATATTTGTATACTTCTTTAATTACCACACCTTTAGCTTGTGTGCTACTCTACCAAAAGCAGAGGAAAAACGAACCATTTAACCTTGTTATGAAACAGCTCTATGAATCTACCTAAAATTTTGAACTGTTATTTATCTGTATAATAAACAAAGCATTCGTTGGTTTGTGAGATTACTTTGTTATTTATCAATTCAATCACTGATTTATCTAGTATTAAAATAAATGGATAATGAGTTTAAAATGATACGGGGATTTCTGTATAAAATCAATATGATAATATGGTCAAACATCACAATATCATCTATGGCACATATTAGTTTTGGATTACTAATTTTCATTGTATCCTTATCATTGCGGATCAGACACAAAGAAAAACATGAAGAGACATGAACTTTTGTGACCTCTGCACCAAGTGACAATTCTATTTTAAGAACAAAGAAAAACAATCTATAAATAGTAATAAAGGAAAGATAACTTTGACAAAACTGACTACCCTGTGTTGATTAGGTTACAAATCCTGCAGTAAAAATTGGGTATGATTATAAATAAAGAGTATCTTGAACAAAGGCAACATAACAAAGTCCTGATTCATATGGCAAAACATATTAAATATTAATCTCTTCTATTATGACTATCAAATATAAATACTAAAGCAAGTGGAAAATTGGGAGATATTTTCAATAACAAATTATGTCTTATGTAACAGATTTAAACAAAACAGGAGTTGTACTATAGTATTGCCAAATATGACTTTAAATGTTTTAAGGTTTTTTAAACTCGATTCACTTCAAAAGACTAAATATAAGAAATTTTCACCTAAATAGTTACAGACTTAAATAACTCATTTGTTTAGAATACTTGCTATATGACTAAAATTTACTTTGGATATTCATCCCATAGAACTAAGCTGAGGTAGCTTTCAAAATTAAGTCTCATGGTCCAATTTTACTATAAACTCAATAAACTACATAATCATTATTAAATCTAAAGAAAAAACAACAAAAACAAGACTAAAATAAAAACAACAACTGCAAAAAAATGTGATTTTGTCTATGTATACTGATTGTATTAACTAGAGAGAAATAAACAAAGGCCATAACCAATTGAGAATTCTAACACTGTGCACAACTAAATTAAATTATATATAACATTACATAACAAAAAACAAAATAAAGAAAGCTACAGTGGCATTTAAATAATAATAAGCTGTGCTTCAGCACAACAACGAACAAGATCTATCACAATAATGACAAAAATAATCATAAAATAATTCAACATTTGTTCATAAATAGTAACATTAAATAGTAATGGTGGACTTTTTCAATTATGACAGCCTGATCCTGTACAAAAAATACAGAACATTTGATATAATGCATTTGCATAATGCATTCAGCTAAATACTGACCATCGGAATCGACCCATCTCTCATGTCACAGCAGCTCAAAAAAAAAATCAGTAACAGCTCAATTATCACCACCGTCAACCTTTTTTTGTGTTGCCATGACAACAGATGCAATACAATGCTTGATTTGCAGTTTTTACACCATGACTAGTAACAGGCACATGGCCATACATGGACAAAACCCTTGTAACAAAGAGACTATTGCCGAAATGCCTCTTCAATAACAAAAAAATATATATCAATTAAAAAAAAGTTACAAAAAAATTGCCATAAAAAATTAACATTAGCAAGCACATTTTGTCATTTCAGTTCAATAACTAATACTCTTGCATTTTGCTGAACCAAAAAGCTTGTTTTCCCCAAACCAGCTGATTAACCAGACAGGTTTAAATCATGCAAACATAATACAGTGCTTACAGCCATTTTTGGCGGACAAAAAAATTCCTTACATGCCAAGACTAGGAATCTGTGCATATCTGTAAATGTACAGTCTATAATCTTTGCTTGCAAGAACTACTGAGCCATCATCCATCAAGGCTACATCGAAACATTGGGCATGTTTCACTTTACTCTCTAGTGCGTTGATCAGCTGGCCGTCTTGCGTGAAGATTGTCAGATTAAAGTTGTTGTGGTTGTCTGCAACTAGAATTTCACCTTGGCTATTGATGCCCACTCCAATTGGATAATTTGTGATGCCTTCACCACCTATCTGTCGCAGGTACTGTCCCTGGTAATTGAACACTTTAACACAATGAGCACGATTGTCACTGATGAATATCTCCTCCTTATCATTCACTACAACACCATTTGGAAACTCGAGGTGCTTTGAGCAACCAAACTTGTGCAAGGTGTTGCCATACTGATCAAATATAATCACACGCATAACTTTACATTCAACTATGATGATTCTTCCCTTATTGTCTATGGCAACACCTCTGGGATGTTGAAGAATATTGGCCCCGAACTTTCGGACAAACTGTCCATACTGATTGTACACCTGTATCTGGTGTGTCGGACTTCTCTCAGTGACAATGATGTCACCAGAGGTTTTTACAGCAGCAACACGATTTGGATAAAGCAATTGCCCATCACGTTTACCACATTCACCAAACTGGAACTTAAAACGTCCCTCTTTGTCAAAGATTTGGATGCGATGATTATTTGTATCAGCAACCACTATGTCATTCTGTGCATTGACTGCAACGCCGCTTGGCTCAGTAAACTGACCTTCCATGACCCCAAATTCTCCAAATTTGCAGTGGTAGATCATCTTCTGGCGCTTGATTTGGGACTTTGGTGGGTAAAGATTGGTTGAGATCAGTTTACTTGTGATGTCCATCAATGGGTAACTGCTTGTGGAGAACACATCGATTCCATTCTGGAAGATATCTAAACCACCGCTGGACCATTTCTCATACAGGTTAGAATCACTGTTTGTGGTGAACGTATCAGTTGTGGGGAACAGCAGATTATTGGTGGATTCAAACTGATTAGTGGTTCCAAAGTTACTGGTTGGGATGGTTTCAATACTGGTAGGGTCAAATAGGTGACCATTGAGCTGGCCATTCATCTGTGTGTTGCTGAGTGTCACAGGTGGTGGAGTCATGGATGAGACAATACCATTAGGCCTAGCTATAGGTTGAGGTTTTGCTATGATATGTGATATATCGCTCGGTCCCTCTCGAACATAGCCAAAAGTGTTTCGTACACCAGTCTGGATTGCCTGGAAGTTAGATATGAATTCGATATCATGGTAGCTTTCATTGTCTGTGTCTGGTGAGAAATTAAACAGATTCTGAAACCGCTGTTCAACCAAATTTTTGAACATCAGAGCTTCAGGTATGGTTGCAAATTTAGTAATCTTATCCACAAACTCTGTTCCCAGGTACATCTTGTCAATATGCTCCTGAATTTTAGTGCCAAGATTGTTAATCAACAACTGCTTGCTGTTAAATGCTTGGTCCAACTCTTTCAGCGATTCTTGTTTCCTCTCTTCCAACATGGCACGGTAGAAGTTGTATGTATCATTAATGTCATTTTGTGCCTTGTGATATTGAACCTGCAACCTGCTGGCAATGTGGTCAATGCTCTTTGAGGTGGTTTTTAGTTCCGTGATTTTCATTTTTGCATCTTGCTCCATCAGATGCATTTGCGCTATCTGTTTATCTCCACTGTCAGTCAAGAACTGGCAATCGTGACCTCGACCATGATCAAACACTGTGCATTCTTTGCATATTGGAATTGAACAAGTCTTGCAGAAGATTTTCAGCTCTTCTGCCTTGTGACGTGGACAATACAAAGGCTTCTCTAGCTTTCCATTTTCCTTATTATTTTTCAGATCTGTAAGGCTGCTAACCCTATGTCCTTCGAAACAATGCATAAACTGGTGTGCCATAACACAATTAGCACAGAGGAAGTTAGCACAATCAAAGCACCTAGCCACTGCATTGGTGTCTTTACTCTTACAGCCAGTACAGTGTAAGGCACTAGTGTCAAGAGCTGTCTTTTCCAGAAGATTGCTTACAGCATAGTCAGGCAACAGTCCACTTAAACCATTGGCACCAAGAAAAGTATCTTGGTGACATTCTGGACAAGCAATCTTATCTGGAAGTTCTTGAGTCTTCTCCAAGCAAGGTTGACAAAACGTATGAAAGCAGCTTAGCACTTTCGGAATGGAGAAGGTCTCGTGGCATAAGAAACATCGTAGGTTTGGATTTCCAGCTGACTCCATTTCTGAGTCGGAGTTTGAAGCAGTAGTGACTGTGTCACTCTGTGAAGGTGTTGGGGAGGCCATCACTGAATCTTGGGTTTCACTGTCAGCAGATTCTGAAAATATATAAATATCAACTGAAGTTCAAGTTTTAATAATCATCATTAAATTAATCTAATACTATGTTACATTAAAATATTGGTAGAAATAACTGTAGATTAATAATTGTTTACTTCAAATTCAGTGAACCAATTCCACAACATTTCTTATTTATTACACTACAATAAGTAAAATATACATCAATATAACCACAGCAACAGACTTTTTTGTACCATAACATAATATGCGAGACCTAGATCTATTTTAAAGCACTTCATACTTTTATTATCATAATTTACAATATTGTACAATTGTATCTCATAATAAATCAATCACATTTTACATCTGCAGGTGATAATAAAAACATATTTTTCCTCTGATGTCAACTGTAATAAAAACGAGATATAATTTATAAATTATGTATCATTTCAAAAAACAGTAAAAGTTATTAAACGCAAAAGGTATAAAAACCTACAATAACTTCATACTGAAACTCACAAACCTTCAAACAAATTTTCTAAATCTAAACTCCAGAACATATCCCAGTAATCATCAATACATAGGGACTCTATTTTATTCAAGTTAATCTCATGTATATCCATCAATTTAATAACACTAAGCTCAAATTCCATCCCAGCCACAAAGATTTTCAACAATGCAAGGGTATTAAACTTGATCTAACAGATGAAATATAGGAATGATCTTTATCTTGGATCTAACATCATTTAAATATCAAAATCTCCTTCCTGATTAAGAGTTTCTTAACCTTTCTTTATTTTAGAAGTTGAATAAACTTTGATATAGCCTTTGGGAATAAATGTGCTCATCTAAAATACAGAAATAATGTCCTGTAAACCCTTGAAATGTTTAAAGAACTTGTTATAAGATAGCATAACCAAGTGAATGACCTATATTGATAAAATATAGGATACTTAAGGGCAACAAATAACCAATAAAGTCAAACTCCTACATTATATTGGAAAAATTATTAGAAAAGCAAACAAAATTTGACCATTTCAAAATAGTTAAATGAACTTTAACTGACACCAATGATTCTATTCCCAGTACATAACTCTGAATATGTATCTATTCTACCCAGACATTAACCAATAAAACATTTAAATAACTTAGCTCTCTCTCATTAAACATTCTTGTTTATGTCAACTTGTCAACACAAATCACAACCAATTGAAGAACGGAGTAAACAATCGTAGAAAAGCACTAACAAAATCATTTAGAATTTTATCAACATTTCTTTTTCAAATAATATTTCACAATAAATCACTAATGATACATATTTATTGACATCAAATATTCAAATAATTGAAAATGACCAATTAGTAAGCACCAAATTCATTTAAATAAGGATAAAACTAATCACATCCCTCTCTTTGGATTTCTTCCCATATTTTGATCAATGATTGAAGTTGAGAAATTAAATCTTTTACTTGCACTGTACATAATTATAAAAGAAATATTAAAATAATGACCAATGCAACACCAGTGTATTATGTCACCCTAAAAATGTTCATAACAGCTGATAACAATACTACAATACAGAAATGTGACCCTCCAGTTAAAATCCTGAGGGTCAAATCAGGTCTTTTGGAAATATGAAGGGTCAAAGTGTCAATTCAAGGGTCAAACGGACACCCTGATACTGTGGAAAAACAAAATTATTGGTTTCACTATAATCAAGAATAATTCTAAAAAGAACTAACAAAGCCATTCTTAACTTATCATTTTTAAAAAGGCTGTATCTTAAAACTATACATGTATATTTTAAGTTTATGAAGGAAATTAATAAAGTTAGGAGACCATTTAACATAAATATGATGGATCTCTCTGAACTGTCATAAATACAACATTTCTTCTTTTTAATTAATTCTAAAATAACCCATCTATACAGCTCTCCCATACTGTTTGAACAATAGACCTGTAATGAATGTTTATCAACTTAAGTTGTTAATAAGTTCAGTGACCAGGTATTAAGTGCACTCTGTCAGGGTCTAATAACTCTGATAACTACTGGTTAACTGTACAGTAAATATTTTTGAAAAGGTCAGTGTTCTACAGTACAAAAAGTAGTCAAGTTTAACGCCTGCCCACATAAGTTCTTTGTCTCTTCATTTATTTTGTTTCAAAAAATCAATTCCAATTTTAGCATTTAAGATTTTTTTTTTTTAATTTAAAAGACACATCTGGAGAGATGAATATTTGACTGCTTAAAATGTCAATAACTAAGGGGAGACACATTTTATACAATCAAATAGAGAACAGATGGCAAGTTTGTTTCTTCAGCTTTATTTTCATTTATTCATGGCATAGCCTCTTTGTTAGCAATATTAAATTGATTTTCAGACAGCCGACAATAACATCTTAGTCATTCTTATTTTTAGATTTTACGCTGTAGTATTAGTAGAACAAAGAGCTTCCCAGAAGCCAATGACAAGACCTTATGGGCTCTTAATCTAACAATGATATACAACAATTGCTGTCCTTAAAACAAACTGATCATATTATTAAGCAAGGTGTTTTGAGAGACGTGCTGCGTAACACATTTCACAGTGAAATTTTGGTTTTTCGGTATGATTTTTTTTTTATTGATCATCCATTTTTCAAATATTCAATGTTAAACTTCCAGTTAGTACATTGAAACATAATTATCCAAAATTCCTGTAACAATATTTAATTTATGTCAGTATAATGAAAGCTTGTTTTTAAAATAAAGATTTATACAATTTTCAAGAAAATGTCAAAATTTCCATTGCAAGCCTTCTATTATGATTATAATGTTAGTGGAAAAGACAAATCTAAAACTGCAATTAACAAATCATTTCTAATTTAGCCTGTAAACTGAAGATTAAAATTTCTGCATCCCCTTGCATAACAAGAGACTTGTGCAAGATACCAAATGCACTTTTACCATATTACAGCCAGCTGGTATTCATTGAAATAGAAAATTATATTCTGAAGAAAATAATTGTAAACACATGCAAGTTTTGACATCAAATATCCCTGTAGTATAAACTGCAGCATCATAGATGATGTAACCTGGCATAATGTGCATGCTTATTCTGCAATTCTTACAGAAATTCACTAGTCACTACAGTGTGTCTATAAATGATTTAGCTGTAGAGAAATAGAAATTATTCAAAACTAATGCCTTTCAAAATATCAATTCATTATATTTTACAAATTGTATTCAAGATTTGGAAATGCAACTTTTTGTCAATGATGTTTTCTAAATAAAATAACAGACCAAGTCTTAGTCACAAGCCAAATTTAAATTCCTCCCACCAAGTATGAATGGAGGTTTGAGAAAAATGTGTCATTTTTACACACTGTAAAGGTACTACACCTATTTCACATACAGTCATTTACACTACTACGTGTTTCATTACAAACATAAAAGGTGTGCCATGTACTTAACACACCTGACTAACTAGGTCACTACCATTTTTAACTAGGATGTTTTCATTACAGTTTATCCTTCTACTTTACTATACAATATTTCTTACTTTCAATAACTGTATTTTTTTTTAATATCAAGCTTTAAGCATTTGCATTGAAAGCTTGACAGGAAAAATGTCATGTTCAGAACAGAATGAAGGGATAAAGTTGCTGATCTATAATCATTTCAAAGAAATAAAACAGTAGTGTTAGGAAGTTATGAAGGATTTGAAATTACATTTAACAACAATGGTATTCCCATTATAATTTTCATCCACATCTTGTACTACTACAATTATTTATGGACTTCAAATATTATAGTAAAATAATGATATCAAGTTATTCTCTAAACAATAACTCAATTCTTCCAAGTTTATGTCAGAAAATAAAACAATTTTCCACCATTCTGGTAAAACAACTTGAAAGCTTAGAATGGAACATGTTTTTCTCAGTTTAAGACTTGGAAACATTTTGTAGTCAACATCTGGCGGCCTCTGTCACTGAACCATGAACACAGCTGCCTAGAGAATTAAACAAGAAGTCTGGAGATATGGAAGGAGAGAATGATACACAGTTTTACATGTACATTCTGTAAGTGATTAATGCCAAGATAAAGTCATTATATATAACCACAAATATTCTGTTTCTTGTATTTAAAGCATTTTCAATGTTTGCACTAAATATGCCAATTAATTCTAATTTTCAAATGCACAAACTTGTTTAGTAACTAAAGAAAGTCATATATATAGAATACTAATTGGTAAGTAGAAATGCAGAAGTCAAGTAGCACTTCCACACACTTTAAGTTTCAGACAATTTTGTATCAATAATTAATCGTGTTTAACTATTTCTGTGTAACTCTATCAGAACACTGCACTGAATGAAAATGGAGTTGAAAGATATACAAACATTACAAAATCAAATGAATTGAATTCTAAGCAATTTATTTAACAATAATGCAAAACAGAGGCTCAAAAAGGGACTGTCATTGATTTTGTTTAAATACATATAATGACAGCACAGTGGAATGCATCTGAATATGTTTTATAAACTGCAGTAATGGTGTTATTCATGCTCGTTTTACTCAACAACGATACAAGGGGTTGTCGTTAAAAATTTTTTTAAGTGGTCCATTTTAGATTTGATTCAGTCAGTTTTGGTTTTATCACATACAACAAGGTTAAGTTTTAAGTGGCCGACAACCCAAATACAATTTACTGAAAGTTATCATGTTTCCTTAATACTCAAGCTCCTTTAAAATTAATTTCAGGGTTCAAGCAAGTCAAGAACTAAACTGGTGACCTCTCTTCAGAAAAAATAAAGAGATGTTTGCACAAGAAAGGGAGAAATAATATTCTAAATTGTGAATCAATATTAAATCGAATGTTGAATATCAAGACTAAATTAAATGTAAGCCCTTGCATAGTCAAAAATAACCATTGGAAATTCAAGTTTTTCTTATTATCAGAAAATGTGTCTAGTATCTTTTATTCTTGGAGATTTCCCCCACATGCCAGATAGAATTCAATCTGTTATACATGTTGTACCAGTAACATGTACTTCT